TGAATTGTACTTTAATTTACATTTTATATCAAACACTACATGGTAAAAATGGTTAAAACAGTAAACTTTCATAAATTCAAGATTTGCAAAATAATGCAAAGTTGTATCTAGCATATAATCTAAAAACAGATGCTTCTTAGACTCAGAGAATCTCAAACACTGGGTCATGGCAACTGCCTCAAAGATTTGTGCACTTCTAAAATTCCCTTAAAATAAACCCTGCTTGCCATCACAGTTTTTAAGGCTAAAGTCACCTGAAGGAAATTTGCTGAACCATCGTTGATACTTACGAAAGTTCAAAACTATTCCATAAACTTCTTTGATATTCTTTGTGGCTATAGAGGCGTTGTTTCCCTTCTTGTATTCAAACAGCATTACATGCCGAATGTGTGTCTTGTCGTGTGTCATTACTATAAAGAATTAGAGTATACTAAACTTTACACATTATATGGGCTACACTAACGTGACGTTTAGACAGTTCATTTAACTATTACACGTGATGTACATTGGGTTTGTTTGTTGTTGTTGTTTTGTTTTTTTTTGGGGGGTGGGGGGGTAGTTGATGAAAGTGTTCCAAAACGCGACGTTAATTTCTTGACGACCTAATACATAGGGAACCCTAGCAGAAACTAGTAGAATTAATTGTAATATTGATGGTATTTTTGTTAGAAAAATTTGTGTGGCCCATATATTACTAAAGGCTCTTTTATCAACAAAGTCATAGACACACAAATAATTTCATGCATCAATTTTTCAAATATGTTTTCAAAGAACCAATGAGGTACGAACCTCATCGATAATTCTTTGTTTCACAATGTAATCATTTTCTTTTGAAATACTTTCATTTTTAACATCTACGTGTATTAAAGGAATTTATCAGCTTTTGTGCAAGCCTTGGTAAAGCTGCAATGGCGAAACGTAGGTTAAAATAAATAGCTTTCAAAATGAACTGGAGATTAAAGCAATCTTTCCTAACATTATTGTCTGGAATGTCTAAACCTCTCCATTATGTACTACAAATTCCAAAAACAAAAAATGCATTTTAGACAAAACCAGTAAGATGATTTTTTTATATTGAACAAAAATTTAATCAAAGTTCCTTACAATTATCTTTTAAATAGCCAAACCTTCATATTTTGAAGTACTGATAAAGCTGCTTCTTTAACCATCACTATTTTGAATAAGCAATTGGGCTGAATTAATTAGAAAAAATACAATACAACTCAATATTCTTAAGGTTACAACGTGTAGATGTCCACGTGACATCTGATCCTATAGGTATTACCAAATTGAAAACAATGTGCTGAATTCATAACTACATTTCGTTTCTACGTAGCTTCAAGGCTTAAATCAAGTATATTTTACTTATTTATCATCTTCTTTCGTTTGAGGCTGCAGATAATTTTGTTTGATGTTTTTCGCTTCCACCATTTAAATGGGCCTCGGTCATTTTTTTAGTTTTATACTACGTACTTTTTTGTGCGTTTATTTTAGCGTAAAGTCACACTATAGATTATCTGCACTCTGTACTCCGCGGGGAAATCAAATCACGGATTTTAACGTGTAAGTTCGTAAACTCGCCGCTGACCCACCAGAGGACCATTTGGTAGCACAATAATTCTAGTCGACTATGACTGAAAACTGAAGTTCAGTATTAAAACGTTTGTTGCATGAAATGTGCGAACGTTAAATGTTAATGTATAAATTACTATGAACATGGTGAAATATAATATAATCATAACAATTATTCGATGACGAGGAACCCACTTTGAGACTAATAATGGCTGGAGACGGCTTGAGTGGGTAATGAAGAAAAACTTTAATATAAGTTTGCTGTTATGTTAAACTTATATTAAAGTTTTTCTTCATTACCCACTCAAGCCGTCTCCAGTCATAACAATTATTGTTAATAATCGTACATTAAGTGATGTTGTTGACTTATTGGAATCTGTATGGTATAAGTTTGAAATATTGCAAATTAGTTTGAGTCATAAACTTACTCTGACCCGAAAATTCAGCCGCTTTGCCTTTTCTTTCAGCCCGTTCTCCGTTCATTTTTGCAGTTGTTTTTCACACTTTGTTGAATATGTTGTGATTTCTTACTCTCCCTCCATACAGATGTTGGATATACTAACACACACGGTTCCAGTAATTGGAGAAAAAACTTTTCGTTAATGGGAATGTTTTTTGTTTTTTTTAACTATTGTTTGCACTGCATAGCAGACATGTGAACAGAGGAAGTAGTACTGTATTACCCTCTTGGCAAGATAAAAGTAAATAGGTTTTACCATAACTCACTAGATGGGGGCGGCTTGCAATGAAGGATGCTCCTGTTGGCTGTGTAGTTAATATTCCCATAATTTACCCGATTTACTAAAGAAACCTTATAATTATTGATTAGTATAATTAAACATATTTACACTTAAAGGGTCCAGATTTAGGTGGGGGAGAGGCTGATCAGTTAGTGTTACTTAATGAATTAGTGTTGTTACAACCTGTGTTACTAAATGTTATGTGGGTATGGTGTGTCAAAAAGAGAAAAAAACTGTGTTACGTAATCTGAATGATCCTCAGTAGAAATGTTAGTTACTCTCTCACTAGGAAAAATTATTTTAAAATCTTTACATAACTTATTTGTGCGTCTAAATGTTACATAATATAGTATTTTCAGATTATGTTCGTTGTAGAAATCAAGAACAAGCAGAATATCTGAACGACATGTATACAACTATAATGTTTTAGCAGAGATCGGTGGCACAAAACATCTTTTTGGATAATGTATGATAACAGATATACTATTATTCTGCTTGTTTGTATGTACGACATTACGCTTTCTCACCGAGAACCTGCTCGAGAACTGCTGCATAAGCATGCGTAGTTAAAATGTTTTCCCAAGACAAACCGCGACTGCGCATTATTCACTCGACGACAAACAGTCTGCCTGCGGCAGAGAGCTGCAAAGCTTAGTGATTAAATCGCTACAATTGCTGTATGAAACAAGAAGTAACAACAAAAGGGGAATGTAAATATACTTTACTAACCATCTTGTACAGCAGATTATTAAAACTTATCAAAGTTTTTAAAAAAGATTTGACGTTAAGTCGTAGAATAACATTATAAGTTTATTTATCGGTAGTATTAAGTACAGTAAAGTTTAGTCCTAACCAAACTAAAGTTAAAAAAAAAAAAACGTACACAGGTTACAGTGTTAATTTATCTCTTTATCGAACTTAGGCCAAACATAAGTTAAAGGTTTATAAAGTACGGCACACACACACACACACACACACATATATATATATATAAGTGGATTTACACATTTTGTTGTCTACGATTATAATTCGTTTGTATTGTGCTAGAAATGTTATATTTAAAGAAATACTCTTACGATAAAGATACTAATTTCACCGGAAATGTTTTGCGGGTCTCTGCTAGTTTGTATTATATATTTATGGCAAAGCTACGAAGGTTATATGCTGCCGAGCTTACTTTTGAAATATTGACCAGAGGAAAGAAAACTAATCAGCAGCATTCTACCACACACACTAAGGGGTTGACTGTCACACTTATAACGCATCCAGAACATAAAGTGCTGAGAATATTTGGTGTTGCTGTATGGATGCGAACTCGACATCAGAGCTATACTATGGGGCAAACCCGTGCCCACGTTCGATAGAAAGCTGTGCAGCTACTATTGATGTCGCCGCTCAAACAAACTGTTGGATAAAGAGACTAAGTGAATACAAGCATAATTCGCACTCTAGCTATACAAAGAAAAGCTAACAATTGAGTAACATAACTTACAGTTTTGGTTTTTGTGTTCAATAAACATATTAACACAATAATTATCGATTATAACAAGTTTTCTTCCTTCTAAACATAACATCACTTTGTTTCTTCTCAATACTTGTTACGTCTTTTAAATGTTCCCACACATTTTACTTTTCCAGTAGTGCACCACATCGACGAAAAATCTTTTAACAAAAGACAACATGATAATTCAATTTTAACATCGTAAAAGATGCGTTATCAACAGATACAGAATATAATATTTACAGTAGTCTTCTTTGTTGCTGCATATCCATACAGTGTCCTAGCACCACGGGTGTTTCAAGTTCGTGAGGAGTGTTAAAATTAACCAAATGTAAAGCAGAAAATGTCTTAAATAGCCATTGTCAAAGCTGTCTTAGTAAGAAATGGAATTGTAAAAGTTTGCAGTTAGAACATCTGTATAGTGTACTGTAACTATACGTAATAATTATCAGCATTGTATCATATTAAATGCTTTAATGGGTAGTTAATCATGCGTATCAACATTTTCTCCATTGAATTACTAGTTTGCATTCATACGTTTTAATGATGTATTTTATGACTGAGAAACATGCCGATATCGTGATATGTATGACTATTCTATAACCGTCAATAAAAATGTCAATTCTAATATAGATTTGATGTGTTTCTTCCTGTGTTTACTACAAAAAGTTTCAAGTGCTTGGATATAATACTTTTTTCAGAATCTTTTTCAACTGTCATGATATCAAAGATATTCATATTATGACTCATAAAAATCTTTAAAACATTTAATGTTAAATGCGGCTACATATTTGAATAATTCACATGAAAGCGTAAGTAGTATAGAAATAAAATATTATTTAATACGTCGATATGAGCTCATATCAAAAACAAAAAGAAGAAGAAGAAAATACTCCTAATTGTAAGTGTACGGTTAAATGCGTGACTGGTGTGTATGTGCTATAAAACTAGTCGCCAGACGGCGCGGTTCTATTTTTTCATTGCGCTTGAAAAGTGTAGAGATTGGAGGTGGGGAGTTTAATTTTTAGTAAGACACCCGGCTCTGTTGCCGTATACTGATGAAATGTCTTTGTAACAGTTAAGTTAACCTAAATTCCCTGTAATTTTGGAGAGAATGGTTGCGCAAAGTTTGTGATGTTCAGTGAGAAGCTTAACTTGATATAAGGTTATATATAGTTTTATTTTATTTCACAAGTTTGTTGAAATAACTTGGATATTTGAGAAATACTAATAGTAATAGGTTTAAAGTTAAACATTGATGGTGCTAGCATACTCGTGATACTGCAAAGTACCATTGGCTTGGAACGTGGAATGGAAGGTTATGTAAAGTATATTAATACGTGTACACTTGTAGGCTTGTTTTTTCAACGCTTGTAGGTAAATATATTAATGGTGTCTTATATTTGTAAAACAATTTACTTGTTCAACATCAAGTTGGTATCAACAAAGTGTTGATGTGGTATATATATATTTTTTGTGGGGGGGGGGGGCTATGTGGAGAGGTGTGTATTTAAAAGTTGACTGCATTTAACTTTAATTGCTCTTTGTTTTTAATAATGACCTTCTGATACCTTGCACTTTTGCATTTAAAATAATGTGAGCTTAAGCTTTATATTTTTTAAATAATATTTGTAAATAAAATATTTTAATATTGAGGACAATATCTATATATGTATAAAAACTGTTACTGCCAATAGACTGATCTAAATGTATAGCATCTCCAAATGTTATATTAACAAGAGGGAGAATGTTAGCAATATTCTTGACCCTAAGCATTCTGTTGGAAGTATTGGGATTGACCAGAATCATGTAGATATTAATCTCCTGGTGGTAAACAGATTGAAAGACAAAATGAATAAAACACCAGGACCAGGTAGTGTTTTCCCCAGGGTTTTAAAAGAAGTCAGAGATATTCAAGACTCTTTCTTTCACTTTTACGTTTTAAGTAGGTAAGTAGATAGTGGGCAAACATCTGAAGATTGTAGAATGGCTAATATTACTCATTTTTAAAGAGGGTGGTAAGAGTTGGAGTTGCCCTGAAACAGTCCCAGGGAAACTAAAAAAGAAGCTTTGCCAAATCATCTAGTGAAATGCAATATCACAAAAGAAAACATAGATTCATTGAAAGGAAATATTTCTTTCTTGAGGATGCTACATGTTATGTGGATGATGGAAAGGGTGTGGATGTGGTATACTTAGATTTTCAAATAGTTTTTGATAAAATCCCACAAAAAAAATTAACTATGAAAATCATATCGAGGGGGGTGGGGAGAGACTAGTAATTTGGATTAATATTTTGTAAATGACCTTTAATTATAATATGCCATTATAACTTGGATTACACAACTAGTATAGATGGGAACCTAATTAATAGCATGACTGAAGGAAAGTATCATTGTAGTGTTTGAGTCACTCAAGCCATTGAAGCATTGTTCTGGTGCTAATAGACAAACTAATATAATGTTTTGTGTATTTATAGGGAATATTGATTACAAGTGAAAAGAGGTAATTATCTTTATGTAAATGACTAGTTTTTCCTCACTTGGAATACTGTCCATTCTTGGTTTCCTTATCTAATAAAGGATATTGACTTGTTGGAAGGGGTTCAGTAAGACTACTGGAATTATTTTGAGGATAGAAAGGTTATGGGTATATAGGTTAAGAGCTAACATATTTTCACTTTAGAAACAAATTGATCTTATTGTAGTTTACAAATTATCTGGGGAACGATAGGATAAAGACTTCTGATGTGTTTGTAATATATTCTGAAGACAAATAGAATGAGAACACAAGTTTAAGATTTGGAAAAGGCAGGCTTGGCTCCATTTAAGATAGATTTATTTTTTTCAATAGAGTGATTAGTCTATGGAATGAGTTTCCATCAACAGCAGTGGAGGCTGGCACTTTGAAAGAGTTTAAAAGGGGGAATGGATCAAATTCTCTGAAAAGAGTGGGTTTGACATTTTAATTTTTTCAAGAGTGGGTGTCATGGACAGCCTTTGAGGACTACGTGGTCCCTTGTTGTATGTCATGTAACTTATTCTTAAAAAGCATTGAAACTCCTGTTGGATCCTGCAATCATGATATATTGTGTATGCTGCAGTGTACTTCCATTAGCTTAATGAAATTGTAGTAGAGGCTTAAAGTTTTTGTTTCTGAAACACAATTAAACAATTTTGTTAAAGAACAGCTGTAATATCTGGACACTATGGGTTATCAGCCATAAGACATCTTGTACACATTGTATTACTTTACATAGTACTGTATGAGTAATAATGTACAACTGTACATTAATGTTAGAGTATGTACTAATGTAAAATGTTAAGAGAACTGTGGAAAGAAATAATAGTACGTGTAAAATAAACAAAATTGATCATAAAGTTATTTTATTTGGCTTATATCCATGGGCTTTATTTCATTTATGCAGTTCTACTTTTCCTTGTATTCTATACTTTTTATGGGAGCTCTCAAGGTCAGGGAGTAGCCAGTCATATTTCTAGTTACACTTCAAACCTTTTGATTTATGAAATATTTTACTACAGTATGCACATAGCAGTAAAATTTGTTTGGGAACATAAGGTAACGTCAATCTTGTTCTTTTACAGAATTACTTCTTATGTGAGCTGTAATTTTCAGCTCTGGTTTATCTGATCAAAAACTATGTTCTGGTAAGGTTATATTGGGAAACTAAAGAGTTATTATTACTTTGTAGCTTTGAAATTTGTACATTGAATATATGTGTGTATGATGACCTTGGTGAGCTGTAAAGTTGTCTGCCACTTGACTATTTCAGGAAAAGACAATTTCTGATAGTATATCTTGTTAAGAATGCATAGTTGTCTCAGTTGAATGAAAAACCCTATCTGTCCTTTCAATTTAGTCAACTGTTTTTCTAATGTAAATATCTATATAACATACTTTTTTTTTAAATCTTATTTCAGGGTGCAAAATAAGTCAAGTGGTTATTTTATTAAGTTTATCTTCAGTTCCAGAGATGTTATATTTGACAGCTGAAAGGATGTGAATAAATTGTAGGTATACAGTATATTTCTTAATTGTTTGCATATTTTTTTTAAGTAACTATGTTACTGGATAAAAATATATTTGTGGGTTTAGAAGTAACCATCAAGGGTCATATTCATGTATAAATACTTCTTGTCTGTCTTACTTAATACCAAAATATTACCTGCTTAATTAAGCATGTTGTAACCTGTAAAAGTATATACTGAATCATTTTCAATATTATTTCCTTCATTAAATGACTACTAGTTCCAAACTTCAAGTTTCTAATGTAGTACAAGTTTGCTTGTCAACAAAAAAGCTATGGAAAACAAAACCTTCAACAGATCAACTTTTTCTTTAAGAAAGTACATGTAGTAATCATTTAATAAATGTATAGATATACTTAGGGAATTTTTACTTAGTGTATTATCTGCAATAAGTTTTATGAAACTAACATAGTGTAAAAATTGTTAATTAATGATGAAATGTCTAAGGAATTAAATGATAAAATATATTTGATAGAGGTTACTTACAATTGAGCAAATTTTTGTGTACAGACTGCATAGGTTTGCAAAATGTAAAAGTTAGTTATTAGTTCTATCCTTTTTTATTAAACTAAAAAGACAGTATTTTAGCAAAATGCCATGAAGGTAGTACAAGTCAATATACTGACATAATATAGGTGTTTCAACTTGTAAGCAGTCATAAACCAAAAAAGAAAACAAAATTCATATTTGATAATAAATTACATGTATGTGGTAATGCCTGACTTAGCTTTATAATTATACTTTTTCCTTTTGTGATTTATAACTTGAAATGAAGGAAATGAAATGTTTACACAACTTATTGTACTTATATACAGATTAGCTAGATACAGGTGTAGCTCCATTAATACGATGTATAAAAGTGTGTGGTTGATGTTCTAGTCACTTTTATAGGAGACATTCCATTAATTCCAACTTACTGAATCACATTTTTTTATGTCAAAATAAAACTATCTTTTTGATAATTACACTAACTAAACAGCTACATTAAAATTTGTCACTTCATCCAAAAAAGCTTAAACTTACTATATCAACTTGTCTCATGTTTACTTACAGTTCTAAAGACCTTTCAGTTTGCTAGTATAGTTTGTCAAAAGCTCAGAGATGGATGAAGTCTGTTAAAAATAATTGTCAGATGAATCATAATCCTCTAATTCCTACTTGTTTGTAAACATCTATTATATTTTACTATTTAGAGTTATGTTAGTTACTACAGGCAAGATGTGAAGTAACACCATGGTGACACTATATATATATATATATGTGTGTGTGTGTGTGTGTGTGTGTGTGTTCAAACTTTGAGCAAAATCTGAGTTCTTGCTACAACTGTCCCAAATGTTGGAATGATATTACTCTTATTTTTCTGTGTAGATCTAAACACATCACATTAAAAGTATTAAATAATTGTAGAATTATGGTTGTTGTTGTTCTCTACCTTGTTGAAGTAACAAAACATAGTAAAGAAAGAAGGACTGCCACAAAATAAAATTCCATATTAACCTGAACTAGAGAGGTTTGTTGACAACTGTCACACATGTATTAATTATTTTTTTGATAATTTTAATGATGAATTTCTCTCCACAGTCACTGGGTTAAGACTGATGATGTAAAGGTTTAGGGGCATGTATGTGGAAAATCTGAAATGAGGGAGTAACATAGTAGTATAAGACACTGATCCTGTATTGATAACTAGCCTTCTCTTACAGCTGGGTTTGAACTCTGCTTCAGGTGGAACCTTCTTGGGCCAAAATTGGCTCCTGTTTCTAAAGCCAAAAGTTCTTAAAACATCCAATGTTATGAAATTGTTTGAAAATCATTTACATATACACTTGAATAAGCATAGCAATTTGCCTTAAAAACTCCAGTTTACTAAGTTTTTTTATAATATGATAACTGTGAATGTATAGTAAGAGCTATATCTGAAGTCTTGGATGAAACACTAGATCACCATATTAATAACACCAGACTAACTCACAGTCTGTGTTAGCTCAACACAAATAGTACTGATACAGTAATGACTTACAAATAATTATAAGTCATTAATAATTTCTCATTTAAAGAACACATTTAAAGGTTATATTTGGTACGTATATGGTATTATTTTTGTATTTGCAACAAGGAACTGTTAAAATCTAATTTCTTACATCATTGATGCACTGTTTGCTTATAAAAAAATAGTGATGTGTATTATAAATTAATTATGTAGGAAATGTTTTTAAGTATATAGGCTGTATTCTCATTTCTTAAAACATTTAATAACATGTTTGATCAAGAGACCTTTGCTTTCCAAGAATATGCTAAATGTAGACACAGAAGATTGTATGCTTTGGATGCTGATAATTCTAGATCATTCATGTCATTCAATACTGAAAATTTACTGCATAGTCCAATTACATATGATAATGTATATATTACAATGTTTTTGTTTTATTATATATCATATAAGTGTTGTTTTCTAAATTTAGGTAATTTACTGTACAGTAGTGATTTAACACATTTTAGTTTTCATCTTTTTGTTTGTTTCCATTTTTTTTTTTTTTTGAATATGTAAATTTAGAACAGGCCTTCTGAAGGATATTTGTAATTAGGTGCGTTATCAGCTTGTAACAACTTGTGTGTATATTGCAGTTTTTTAAGAAATAAATGTTTTTTTTACTGACTAACATATTTACATGCATGCACATGCTATATTTTATTTTGCAATTGTGGCTGTAATGGTTGAACAGGCTTAACCATCAGTGGAAAGTAAATTATCTCTTCTGGAAAGATCCTGTATCTGAGTCAGTGAGTGAATTCTAGTCATCATCCCCCCCTTCAATATGTGGAGTTTTTCATTTTATCCAAAGCAACTTCACCTCTTTGCACTTATATATATATGATGTGACAATCATGATGAGAAGTTCCCTCTCTGGGGCTTTATCCCTTGGTAGAATGCTTAGCCTCAGAGCACTAATGTATGTTAAGGGTCCTTAAGATCATGATATATTACAATGTTCATATAATACTTGTATATAAATGTTGTAACAGCTCAGTATTATATGAACATTATAATGAATTAGGATGTTAAAAAAAACCTGCCCTGACTGGGACTTTAACCCAGGACACTTTGTTCATACTAATGTTCTAAAGTGAAACAGATAATCCAGTATGACCATTACATAGTCTTCCCTGCCCTACATTGCAAACAACAAAGGCTTGGCCTCAAGCTTTCAGAACAACACAGCACTTCCAAGAAAACACACCAGATCACCTAGTGAGCCATTCATGTACTTGGAGGATTTGATTAACTATCTACTCATTCATAGAATAACCAGTTGTTGGTCCCAATATAACATATAAAATGTTAAAATATCAGCTTTGAACAGAGCTTAAATTTGGGAGCCTTAACTCACATTGGTGTCCTCTATCAAATGAGCTACAAAGACTCAAGCATATAACCCCCATTTTGGTTGTTACAAAATTCTTGTAGATGTACTTTCTATATTACTATGTAAACATTATATGAAAATTTGGAAGCTGTTAATTTGTGTGCGCAAAGTCTTGTAGATTAAATGTAATATATTTGTTGTTGATGTTTGTATTTACTGTTTTTAATAATTCTGGTATGAAATACAGTATTATAAATGTGTAAAAAAATAATGTTTTTACAATAGGTACATGAAAGATATTAATCATTTTTGATAAAAAAAAATAAAGAAACCTTTATATTTTATTGCATGTGTTTATAATTGAAAGACAAAAACTACATACACAGAGAGAGAGAGAGATACTTATATATATTTATTTATTGTACTAATAAATTAATAAACTTGAATTTTATAAACAGGTATGACTGTACATGAAGTGTTAACCTGTATTAGTGGACATTTTTGTGACACATCATGGAAACTACAAAATCAACATTTGGGCCAGTTGATTATGTTGTCTTTAGTCTCATGTTGGCATTTTCAGCGGCAATAGGAATTTATTACAGATTTTCTGGTGGCCGTCAAAGAACAACAAAAGAATATCTTCTTGCTAACCAAAGTATGTCTGTTATTCCTGTGGCATTTTCACTAATGGCCAGTTTCATGTCAGCTATAACACTCCTTGGAGTTGCTTCAGAAAATTACATCTATGGCACTCAGTTTGTAGTCATTAACATTTCCTATATCATTGGAACTCCAATATCAGCATTTGTTTTTCTTCCAGTGTTTTTCCACATGCAAGCAACAAGTGCTTATGAGGTAAGATGTTGAAAATATTGCTCCCATCCTCACCTGTTTCTATATTGCCATGCTTCATTTCCTACAAAAAAAAAAGTACATGGAGATTTTCTCTTCATTTAGCAAACAATTACCTAATATAATTTTTTATGTTTATTTTTATTTAAGTTTTTGGAGCACTTACAAAAAAGCAAGGAAAAACAAAATTTACTGTATAGTACTAACTCGTATAACAAAGATCCTAGTTTTTTAATTATGTTAATATGTATTTAACTGTAATAGTAAATATGTGAAAGTTTAACTTTGTTCTTCTCAGCATATATTTATTCTATACTGCTTTTGAAGTTTAATTAGTAAATTTTTTGTGTTTTGGTTTTTCAGACTTGTTTTTGATCTGATGTCCTGTATATTATGGTCTAAACTCTCAAAAAAGAAGGCAAAGCTCAATGCAGAATATTGTCTTAAGTACATGTAACACACCTTCATTTCAGCAAATGATTCAAGAGTTTTGCAGCATAAACATAATGTAAAAGAGAAAAAAATACTGTGACTGGAATTGAAATAAATGTTAATGAGCTGAATATATACCAGGCATTTTATAATGACATGATCATACTTCTATTGGAATTTTCTGAAATACTATGGGAAAAATATGATATGATAAGATAGCCTTTCTGAATTATTTTTAAGGAACCTTATCTCAAAACATCTTTTCAGTTTAATGTCCAATCTGGTATCTGTAAAAAAAAAAAAAAAGTCAGCTTACTTAAAATACACTATTAGAAAAACTTCCATTTTAATTAATGTTCTGAAGAAATTGATATTGCTTCTACAGTGTTTTACAAAACAAAAAATAAATATTGTAATTTATACTCAATATATGATAAATATATGAAGAACTGGAGCTAATTTTGTTCTATGAGTGAAATTTTTTAAAACCAGGAGATGCGAGTCGGTATTGATAAGAAAAGAAAAATCATATCAGGAAATAAGATTTAATAAACTGGGAAGATGTCTTCATCCAAGCCAGATGCTTTAATATCTTTGATGGGTGTTTTAGCTGTTAGTTTAAATTTGTATTGTCCGGTGTAGTAACCTTAATTAATTATGAGTATTTCACATATAACATGAAAAATCGTGTGATTTAATTGAATTGGATATTGTGATTATTATTTTTTTTATGCTTTTTCCAGTACCTTGAACGGAGATTTGGCAAAATAACTAGAAAAGTAGCATCTCTGACTTTTATAGCTCAAATGGTGAGTCTTCTTAAAAATTACAAACAATAAATGCTGCAAAATTAACTGAAAAATGAGGCAAGACAGAATGTGGAATGTTCTTATTGTATTAATTTGTTACTATACATATAGTGCACGCACTAGTTAACATGATCTATAGCCACTGGTTTTGAAGTTTAGTAAAATTAAATAAAACCTAAAAAAATGTTTCTGGTTTAAGTCACACTTAGATTTTTCAAGTAAAGTTTTTCAAGCCACCAAGAACAGTGAGATTTGTCAGTTAAAGCATTTGTACGTATCAAGGTATGTAAAAATATAATTTTAGATTTATATACTGCAAGTCACTGCCCAATCGGCCTTTTGTTCAACACCAGAACTTGTCATTTGGGCATGATGACGTGAGATGAAAGATTCTCTGAAACACTACATATACATACAGCATAATATTTTGAAAGTTATAGTTTAAATGCTGATAGCTGGCAAAGCACATTAGAAACCAATAGGCCTATTGATTTTTAATCCTTTGCCAGCTTTTTGTGTATAAAACATAACTTTTAGGTCATGTAACACATTAGTTGTGTTGTTGACTTACAAAAGAGGAACTGGTGAGGATTTCAAAATTTAACCTTGTTGGTTCTCTTTCTCACTAACTGTTAAAGTACTCATAATCCTAAAGCTGCATTATTACTCTGGACTTCATATGCTTTGCCTGAGAACATGGTTGTACTTATTCTTTGTATCCAGGTAAGTGTTGGTGCTACAGAATAGCAACTTGCTATCTGAAAAAATTTATAATGTAACCAGAAATATGATTCCTTACTCTAGCTCTCTGACAGTGAACTTTCAGAGAAAAAGGAAAAAAGTACAAAAAGAGAAGTTATATGACTGCTGATCCTCCATTCATAGCATACACAGTTAATATAATATATTCAAGTAGATTGTGGGATTTGATTTTCAAGCAGGATCGATACTTGACCCCCAAATAGTGTCTTGCTTCCGATAGGGTGAACACAGTTGGTAGAATTGGATTTTGTAGTACCTCATCATGAAGTAATATAAACATATTTTTTCTGTTGTTGTAGATTATGTACATGTCCATTGTGCTTTATGCTCCAGCATTAACCCTTAGTGCTGTGACAGGGCTGTCAAAATGGGCTTCCATTATCTCCGTGGGACTTGTGTGTACTTTCTACTGTACTGTTGTGAGTTTCTCATTCTTACATATGACAATACTTTTCTAATTAGAATGCCAAAGAAATGAAAAATATATGATGTTTAATAAAAAAAAAAGAACAAGTTGATGTTTATGGATTGTCTTCGATGTTGTGATAGATGTGTTAATATATAATGCACACATAATGTGTTTTGGTGTGTTATATCTATGAAATATCAGATTCTGTTGCATTAGACTTAGTTTACATCTTTTATATATCAGAAATGTTGTAGTTGTTTCCAAGAAACTGTAGTTTCTTTTGTTAAAAGATGCATGTATGTTAGTAACTGTTAATTATAATTTTAGGGTGGGATTAAAGCTGTCTTATGGACCGACTTATACCAGTCACTTCTTATGTTTCTGTCCATGTTTGTTGTCCTTATTAAAGGAACTTATGATGCAGGGGGTCTTCAGAATGTATGGCATATTGCTAAAACTGGGGGTAGAATACAATTTTTCAAGTAAGTATTTGTATTATTACAGCCATAAAAAATAGTGAGATTTGTTAGTTAAAACTTTTGTATTTATGCTTATATAACACAGCATTTATACTTGCTACCCTAAAAGAAAAATAATTGACTCAAATGGAGATGTCTGATCTTTCCAATATTATGAACTCTTGTCATACTGTCCTCAGAATTCAATGCCAAAAAATTTTATTCCTCAATCTTTTCAATTCCCTTAATTTCATTTTGTAAAGGAAATGATAACATTGATATATCAGATTTTTTTATAATGAATTCTGAGGGCAGTAGGATAAGAGGTCATAAATTTCAGAGTTGGAAAAGTCAGGCACCTCTCCAGTTAAGGCAATTTTATTTCTGCAATTGGTTGTTAAATCTGTAGAACAAATTGCCATTTAGAGTGGTAGAGAGTGCAACTTATAAGAGTTTAAGATAAAGGTTGATGAATATATGGAGAATCAAGGCTGGATTTAGTGATTATGATTATCTTTTGTTAAGAGAGTTGGAAATCCTTGATTGACCCGAAAGGTACCTTGATATACCATAATTTATATATGTATATATTATAGGTATAAGTGTAATTTATTGTTTAGAAATACTGTCTTGCATTGAATACAATGTTTTTAAATGAATAATCATTCAGAATTGTTTTATTCTAAATTTTTTAATCTTCATATAATAACTAAAAATACTTATTAAGAATACATTGAATAAATCGTTTAAAGTTTAATATTGTACCAAGTTGTCTGTTAAATTCTAACTGCTACTTAATCATAAATTTTGGTCAGTAACACCTCCAGCCTGTTGATCTTCAATTTTTGCAGCTTTGATCCAGACCCTACTGTTAGACATACTGTTTGGACTCTTGCTATTGGAGGAATTTTTACATATACTTCTATCTATGGTGTGAACCAAGCCCAAGTTCAAAGACTACTTACAGTAAAAACGTTGAAGAAAGCCCAGCTGTAAGTATATCAGATAGAAAATTGTAGACTCTTGTCATTATCACTTTGTAACAGTTGTTTTTAAAGATAGTGATAGCATAAAATGATTATTTTTGTTCTTACTATAGTGTTTTATTTTGTACATGTATCAGTGTTATTTCAAGTGGTATTACTGACCTTTATAATGCATAGGTTTTGTTTACTATCATTGCTTTTGGAATGACTAAAGGTAGCATCATCTGATTAAAAATACGTATATATAAACATACATCTAATCTAAAGACAACAAGGGACCTGTTTGTTTGTCTAGACTGTCCCAGCCACTTTACTATACTTTAAAATTTTAAATAAATATAAGACTCAGAGCTAGCTTATCTATCAAATATTTCTCAAGCCGTTTCTTAAACTCCCTTAAATTAACTATGTCTACCCCATCTGAAGGCAACCCATTCCAAAGGCCAACCACCCTGTTAGAAAAATAAAGCTGTCTTAGCTGAAGATGACTCTTACCCAGCCTGCTTATCATAGTTCTGTCTTACAGTGTACATTCCACTTACATGTGCAAGTCAATTGGATAACAAGCTCATTTCGGGTGCATACATACAGACAATTTTAATATGATTAATGAATTTAAAGAATATTATGTGCTTAATTAGCACGTTCATGTCGGAATCAATCAGAATAAGTATATCAGATAGCAAATTGTAGACTTCTGTCATTATCACTTTGTAACAGTTGTTTTCTAAAGATAGTGATAGCATACTGTTTGGACTCTTGCTATCGGAGGAATTTTTACATATACTTCTATCTATAGTGTGAACCAAGCCCAAGTTCAAAGACTACTTACTGTAAAAACTTTGAAGATAGCTCAGCTGTAATTATATCAGATAGAAGGTTGTAGACTTCTGTCATTATCACTTTTTTTGTTTTCTAAAGATAGTGATAGCATTCATAAAGCAGTAATTGTTGACAAATATAGAAAACATGAAACCTATTTTTTACTGGAAGTGGTTACCAATGGGCACTACTAGCTCACTGTGGCCACAATTCGTGTCAACTATGACATGCTTTTTGTAGCTAAAAGAACAGTCCAATATTCAACACAGGTAAATGCTGTTGGATGGCTCACTTGACTTTTGGCTACTGGAATACCTAAATTCAGTGATCCTTTATTATGGAGCACATGCTATGTTTATTTACTTGACAATTGCCACTTGATATTGAATATTTTACTTAATTCGTGATGTTTATGTTAATACATGCAAAAAAAAATTATAAGAACTTTTTGTATTCAGTAACATTTAGACTCCACTTTCCAGTATGCATTTTTCTACCAATTTAAAAGATAAAGTGTATGCAAAATATTTAAGAAATGCTTTTCCATGTTCATAAGTTCAAAAATACTAATTCTCTAGTAGTTACTAACAAAATATTAAAGTGAAGATTAAAGAGGAAGTTTTTGTTATTCCTGGGAAAAGGTTACCAGAAAATTAACTACCTAAATTGTGTACTTTATGTAAAGTACATAAATAAATACAATACACAATAAAAATATTTGTTTGAACAAAACTTCATATTTACCTTATTTTTAGTTTATTTTATGATTTTTACAGGTTTCAATAGAAATAATCTCATGAAATAAGAACTTTAATCTGTAATATGCTAAGCATGTCATATGTTCATGCTTCAACTAAGTAATTGAAATTCTTACATATTATTACAGATCATATTGAAAGTCAAAATATATATATATTTTTCACAGCCTGAATAAAACCTCTTGCCATTAAATATCAGGATTTTTTCTAAGAAATACTCCATTAATGTAAAATAACTTAGTTATTAAGTTTCTTTTCCCAAATACCACATGGGGGGAAAAACCACAAATATTAAGTATATAAGGGCTGTATAACAAGGGAAAATCATTTCTAGAACATGTATGCACACAGTAAGATTGTTTAAAGCAGTACTGGAAATTCATCAGATCTTGCAAAGATAGATGTTTCACCATTATTTAGTTATCACAATTGTTTTATATGTTCAAAAGAAAAAATGCAATTTTTCTGTCTTTTTTTATAGGGCTTTATTTTTGAATTGGCCAATCACCACTCTTCTTAGTATAACAACATCACTGACAGGGCTTGTTATTTATGCAAACTTTCACTTGTGTGATCCAATACTACGCCAAGAGGAAACAAATGTAAAATCTCCTGATCAGGTAATTATGTTAGTAATTTGAATAAATATTTGCTATATAACGTTTAGTAAAGTTAATCCTCTCACTACGAACAGATCAAAGTGCACGTCACAATCTTTTTTAAGAGTTACACTCAAAATTTAATTAATCTACTTTATTGTCATTATATATGAATAAACTTAGTATCAAAATGTAGCTGATAAATCAAATTTTAATATTATGTAAGTTTTAAGTTCTTAATTTAATAAGGAAATATTTTTAAAAATCCTCAATCTCCCCTATTATGAGAATTGTGGCATTTTCTCTCTAGGTCTTTCCTTTTCTCTAAGTTATTTACCACCCTTCTGTGAAGTATGGAATTTAATGCAAATTATTCATTGTAATATATGTATTACTTAGGCAAAACATTATATTTATAGACTTCTATCTTGTTTGTTTACTATACATAAACTATATAATGCGACCCACTTGCTATGCTTACCTGTCACGTTCTCTCTTTCACAAATTGCCAATAGCTCTGTGTCATTTTATACTATATTATTTATAAAATATAAAACTAGAGTTTTAACGTATCAAATGATATATTACATTATTCTCTGTACAGAGAATTGTTTATTTTGCCTCCATTTCAAAACTTTTTTCTTACAGGAATCACATTCACAAACTTAGCTGAATTTTTAAAGGCTTCTATCGCATAGTTAGAAAACCAGAAAAATGTGATAGTTAAAAGACATTGTTTGCTTTGTGCATGTTATTATTCTGTGTTCTTAGGTGCATTATTTAATTAAATAAAAATTATTATGTAGGATAGTACTTAATAGTAGATTGACAAAGGACATATGTTGGCTGAAAAAAATAAACGCTTTCCTCAAAACTACCTTATAAAAACCCTTTCCACCAAAAACCTACTGGATTACATAGACAACAAAAACAACATTGTACCTTGACTTACAGTGGCAAAATGTCAAAAATCACTCCACTTTAATTTTTTTTTTTCTAAAACAACTATTTTGGCTGATTGATTGATCACCTCAGATAGCCTAGAGCAAAAACAATTAAGCCATTTGGTCCAATATTCTCTTGCACTACTTGGTTCAATGGATGGCACTAAATATCGATGGATACACATGACAGTTTCTAAAGATAAAGTATATAGTTTATACAGGTTATAATATAAAAAGTAAACAAACAAGAGTATTAAAAAATTATGAATTTTAAAATGAAGTAGGGGATCTTGCTACAAAAAGTACTGACACAAAAATAAAAACCACAATCACAAATTTATAAAATTTAATCTCAACCTTAGCAGCTTCATACACTTATCTGTAGGCCAAAGTAAGGATTAAATTTTATAAATTTGTGATTGTGGTTTTAATTCTTGTTTTAGTACTTTTTATAGCAAGATCCCTTCTTTATTTTAAAATTCATAATTGTTTAATACTCTTGTTTAGTATAGTAGTAGTGCCATTAGTATATAAAAAAAAATAGTAGGTTTAAGCTTCATCCACAGTCAATAGCAAAAAAAATGACAAGCAACCCAGGTGAGTACTATTTCTTGTTTTTCATGTGTAATCTTTATTTTCTGTTCTGAAAGTAACTAAAATGTTAAAGTTAGAAATTTGTTAGGTTAGATAAGTTAATGAAAAAAAAATATTTGTGATATATGTTTGTGAGCAGCTTGTGCGCTAAATAATTCAATATAGTAACATGCTATACATTTGCTGAGCACCTTACAATTTGTCTTGTGGGATTATTTGTTGGATACAGTTCAAAGGGCAGTAAAATTAAGTATAAACACCTTTATACTGTTACAAGCTTTCAGTTATTTAGGACAAACAATTGTGAGTTCATGTTACAATTTGCAGTCATTATAGAAAGAAAAAAGGTAATTTAGATTTATTGAGTGATCCTTTATAAAGTTAGGATAGAGAAAATAGCTGAAAGAATATAAAGTTTTTCTCAAAAAGTCATTTGATATTTATTTAGAAGGTTTTAGTGATTACACAAGTAAAATATGGAAATTTTCAGATAAAGAATGGTATCTTTAATATTAACATGAAAACCACTTTGCACTTGGAGCAGTCAACATTCTTACTCCATATATTTATGGAAAAATTTTTAGTAAAATTACTTGATTAGAAATTTTTATTTTTTTGTACACACAACACTTGTAGTGTTTACTAAAAGCTTTACAAATTTCGTGAAGATACACAAAACATATTCAAAGATATAGTATGGAAACTGATGGTCACTTTAGTGTTACAAACTCAATTGAAACAGCCAGGCCTGTAGTGAGAAGTTTAATCAATTCAACCATTTTATATAGTTATTCAGTATAATTTGCTTGACTAACAATATATGTAATTAAAAGAAAAACACTTAAACATTCAATTTTCACTTTTTTTCTATAATAAATTACCAAAAATATTCTCTTTAGTGTATACCATTTTCTAATATAACTCTAACCTTTCTTTTTTTCTTGGCTAAAATGTAATCAAATTTTCAAAAAAAGATATTTGTATTTTATATAAATTAAATGAATAGTACTTGCATAGAGAGAGAGAGAGATCTACCAGTAACACAATGGTATTATGACTAAGTGATAGTCTCCCAGTTGTTCAATGGTAAGTTTACTGACTTATAATGCTAAAATTTATGGTTTGATTCCCTGTGGTAAACAGAGCACAGGTTAGCCTATTGTGTAACTTTACTAAAACACAGACAAGATAAGTAATAATCTAGATGTGTTATTTAATAAGATACAATGTTTTTAATTCAGGTCAGTGGTGGAAGCAATTAAAATTATTAGGGGTTCGTGGGATGGTTTAATCCATGTAATATTGTATGTTGTAGAGTTAATGCTTTCTGTGTTGAGCAAGCCTTGTAACTTGTGTCCTTTAAGCTTAGATTTTGAAATATTATACTGCACCATTGCTTCAGGTAAATGGCAATGCAAAGAATTTTTTTTTTTAAATGTTACTTCTCTGCACAACTAAGAGCTATTACTTTATGCACAACCACCATGTAATTTCCTGCAAATCTCACATGCTTTTAACAAACTTCCACCCCTTCACATGCCTACATATATTGCACCGGTTTATGACATCATTGTTATAATGACTTTGCAGTGTTCAAATTAAGCTATCACACTACAATAAATTAATAGCAAACTAAAATCTAAAAACTCCTTTTAGTTTGATATTAATATATTGTATGATGTGATTTAGTTTAAATTATTTATGTGAAATGTGTAGCATTTGTGTTATATTGAAAGGTTAGAACCTAAAATCTGATAGGTTTTTAGTTGTTTTTTTATAATGTTGGTATTTATGACATTTATTCACCATTGGTAGGTGAATTTAAGAAATTATTTTTCATCAGTAGGGTGGATTAATAAAACTAAAAGTTTTGGTGTTTTTTGCTAATTCTGATTGGTGTATGTGTATATATATATATATTAATAATAGATAGGGGTTGGGCCATTTGACAACCCTGCTGCTCCACTCTGAAGTATGACTCAAAATTGAAAATTATTGGATGAGGGTAATATATTAACATATGTTTGGAAGTGAAGGGTATGATGATAACCCTAAGGGTGTTTTAAACCAGATGTGTGAATTGCATCTGGTTGGGTTATCTTCAAACTGAAGGTTTTTTAATTAGGGCAGCATACTATTAATCTTTAAATTCTTTTCCAGTTTAAGATTTCCAAAAAACAAATCTCTAACAACTATCATATATGATAGATATGGTAGAGAGCCATCAAAGGAATTTGGGAAATGTAAATAAAACCTATATTAAATTAAATAAGTGTAAGCCTAGTTTAAATTTTTGAATAAGTGTAAAGTATATGAATTGATACCTAAGTTATTAAACTTTAAGAGTGTTAACTTTAGAAGTGTTAAAGAAATATAAAGAAACTCAAAATAGGTGATGAGGAACCCACTTTAAGACTAATAATGGCTGGAGACGGCTTGAATGGGTAATGAAGAAAAACTTCAATACAAGTTTAACATAACAGCAAAACCTTGTCGAAACGTTGTACATTTGCTGTTATGTTAAACTTATATTAAAGTTTTTCTTCATTACCCATTCAAGCCATCTCCAGCCATTATTAAACTCAAAATAGGTTTTTAGCAGCAGAAATTAAACATAAAGAAAGAAATGTTACAAAATTAGAAAAACTTCTAGATGAAGAAAACTTACAATTAAAAAATTTTTTAACTGTAGATTATTTCTTCTTGATCAATGAAATTATAAGAACCATAAATTGTTCAAAATATGATTGACTCAGAATAATAAATTTTTAAATTTAAAGAAGAATCAAATATGTAAATAATTTCTGGGAAATTCTGATGACGTCATTGTAAATCAATCAAACTATACTCTAAATGATATAGAAATGAAGGTATTGCCTCAAGGATTAAGGTTTTTTTGCTCTTACTCCTAAAAAAAGTGAAGTTTCATGATTATCTACATGGATTTGAGCTTTTGTTAACCATTTCCAGATGGATCACGGATCAAAGGCCATGTCATTGCATTTGTTGACTCTCATTCAAAATTTTATTGAACTACTATTTCATGAATATATGTCAATAAGTTCAATTTCTTCATTTAAAATTAAATATTAAAAAAACACAGTTAAACATTGATTCTTGTGTGTCACATAGTATATTGAATGCAGCACTGGTTCAAATTAGATGTTTGTGATGTCAAAATACTAAGTCTATAGTTTCATACTAATTAGAAACTCAAATTACAGATATTGACAAGCTAGAATACAAAATAAGAAGGTCTTATCTTTTCTATTTGCTAAGATATTGCTCACGTAATAAATCAAACACAGTGGCACCCCGCCCATCTCTTTTCATTTTTTGAAATGCTTCCTTATGTACACTTACTTCTATATATGACATAAATAACCAATCAGAAGCTCAAAATATCCCCCTAGTGGTTTTCTCAGCCTTTTTAAGGTTCGTTCTACCATTTCTTTCTTTTGAATCAAGATTTCAATGAGGTAGTTTGTGTCTTTAGTCTGGTCGAATTTTGTATATTTTTAGACCCAAATAAAGCTTGGTTACTAAGCTTGATAAATTATAGTAGAATTCTATGGTATTAATGTAGTAATTTATGATTTTTTAGTTATTCAAATGTGTGTGTGTGTGTAATAAAAAAAAATATTATTTTTTTCTTCCTCTTTTGTAATTTTTTAACTTCAAAAATAAAATTAGTTATTTCATTTAACTTTAGCATATATCTTATGGTATTCTTGCACACACTCGCAAGATAGTTAGAACTGAAATTGATCATAACTTGAACTGGAGATAACCAAACAATTAGTCTTGTATTGCCACTTATTTTATGTAGCTGATTGTTTTTGTTATAAGATTAATTAGAATTAATTTTCTGAATTTAAGAAACTGTTATTTGACAGTAATACACCAAGGTTACCCATCAACCTCTAAAAGAACGACACCACTCATGTAAATATATTTTTTCTGTACTTGAATTTTGCCTCATTTTAATTTTGCTTCCTCAGAAAGGTTCCAACACTTCTGGAAACTTTGTCACCCTTGGAATGTTAAGTTCCAACACCATTGAATGCTTTGTCATTTTTAGATTTTCATATAATTGAAAACTTAATTTGGCACTTGTAAAAATGTGAGCAAAAAAAAATGTTTTTTTAAATAAGATCAGATTGGTAAAAAGCAGAACATCAGTGTTAAGTAAGAAATGAACAGGAAAAATGGATAGTCTGAGATGATCTTTTATAATTAATATCACTACCTTTACATTTGTAGATACACTAATACTCATACATTTTTTTGTGAGTGTAATTGCTGTTATCTGGGAATACTAATATTAAGTGTTTTTCTTACCTACATGTACATGTGTTTTCTTTTATAATGAAAATCTTTTTAATACTCATAATTTCAGAATTTGTCACCTGGTATAGGGTGTTTGTATTTTTATCATAAGAATAGCACAACCACTGAATAAAAATGAACTAAATGCAGCTTAATAAGGAACTAAGAATATTTATTTTAAAGTTAACGTATTTTTATGGGTAATCTGTCTACACAAAGACTATTTTGTATTTTCTTGTTGGATACTGATTAAAAAATGCTAGTGCATGTAAAAAGAAATGAGATAGTTAAGGACTTTGTGTAACTGGTTCATCATTCTGTCACATATTTTCAGATAATATATTTTGATCAAAATACTTTTAATATTTGTATGTAAAAAGTTCCTAATTTCCTTTGATACTTTAATTTAACAAATAATTTGTAAGTGTATTTGTTGCATAATAACATCTGAAAATATTTGAAACTTTATTTCATAGTTGCTGCCATATTTTGTCATGCTATCCCTTGGACATATCCCAGGCCTGCCAGGGTTTTTTGTTTCAGGAATTTTCAGTGGTGCTCTTAGTACTGTTTCATCAGCTCTTAATTCACTGGCAGCAGTAACTTTGGAAGACTTTCTAAAGCCTCTATGGCCAAGGAATGAACTCTCGGATACAAAGGCAGCTTTAGTATCAAAATTTCTTGGTAATATTTGCTTATAATTATTTTTTAAGTTTCTTTTTTTATGCAGAATTAAAATAAACTTATAACATCTAAAACACTATTCTTTACCCAGAATTTCTGGTTTTATGAACTTTTATTAGAAATAAATAATTTTGAATAATAATACAATCTAAGAAAAGAGGTGAATTAACATGCTGATTACTTAGTTTTTATTAGTATCATTGGAAATGTTTTAATATTTTAATCTGCTCATTTTTATATGCCAAAAAGTTCGTGTTTGTAGTTCTCAAGGATTAAACAAAATGATAGTTTTGTAACCAAAATAAATAAGGAAAAGAAACAAAACTCCCATAGTTCTTTTCTGCTTACATTATTTACTTTTTATTATCAGATAGGCATATTTATTACTTTTCTCCAGAATTATAAATGGCAGATGTTTTGCTATATACTGAACATTATACACCTCTAGAACAGGTCTCCAAAATTTCATTCCTGGGCTGCTTTTACCTACCTTTAATTCTTGAGCCATGTGAAGTTTTTCCAGAAAAGTTCAAAATTTTCAGTACTCCCAAACTTTGTCTAGCAATAAAAAAAAAAAAAGTGCAAGTATTCTTTTTTGTAATGGTATGAATGTAAAGTAAAAAGTTCAGTATGCAAAGTTATGCAAAGTTTTATTATCACAAAAGTAAAAACTGCTTTAAAATTACTTTTAAAATAACCTGTACTTAATCATTATTTGCCACTAAGGGAAGTAACTAAAAAAACAGTGAGCATGCCATGTGCAGTACCAAATAAAGGACTGACCTCTTGTGATATGAGCACTGAGTAACCATGGCCAGTTGACTCTTACTTTATCTCTCACAAGTTTTACAATATACATATTATTCCTAGTACAAGAGTAATGAAGCAATGAATTCAACCTGCATCTGCTAAGATGAGATATCTACTTCCTTTTAGTTGGAAATAAATATTTATTCTTGAAAGCATGTCAGATTAGCAGTCAATGAGTGAGAGCATTAATTAATAAAAATATTTAATACCCTCTTTCCGTTCATGTGGTCACTCTAGTTTTGAGAGTTTATATTGCATAACATAGCTCAGAACCAGTGTCATCAGGTGTGCTACTGCTTCTGGCTCTTTTTTCACATGATGTCATTCTTAAAGGTAACACACTTTCCAATCCCATGTAATCTACTTAATAATGTGTGTAATATTAGCCACATTCTTGTATGCATATTTTATCCATGTATGAGTTGCTTCTAGTTAAAAGTCTAGTTAAACAATAATAATTACAGCATAAGTGTAACAAACAAAAATTCATGAAATCCATTCAAAAACACTTGAGGTAAAACAAAAAGCCAAAATTCTGCTTTAGCTCTAACTGTAGATGATACCTCATAAATACAGCAGAATAAAGCAAGCTGGCATTACTCACATTGTGTTATTTTATTTAGTGAAACTCTGCGATGATTCTTAGGTGAATTAGGAGCCAAACTGAATGTAAAATGTAAATTTTTTACAACATATATTTTTCTTTCTTTGCTCAAGCATTTTTTGATGAATCTATTATCATTGACATGTTGTTCACCACAGGTAACAATAATTATCTTTTTGTAGCATTTTTATTTCTGATTACAATAAATAAAGGTTGTTGCTAAATGTAATTACAGCATAACTAAGAGTATAATCCAAAGTGTACCTACCCTATTAATATTTTAACATTGTTTTCTTAGGAATATGTATATTTTTAATGGAGAAAAAACGTGTATTGTAAAGTAATTACTATAATATGCAAAAATCTAAATGTGGTAAGTACTTTACAAACATGGTTTCATCTTTTTTATCTGTTTTTAGATGTATGAAGGTTTTGATTAATCTCGGTCAGATAAACTGCTTAAAAAATAATTTAAGAATCCTGAGATATAGTTTGGGTAAGAGTAATGTAGCTTCTGAAACAAAAAATACTATTTCTAATATACTGTATGCACACAAGAGTTGCTAACAATATTTTCAGTAAAATATATGCATGTTAAATCATGGAGAATATTTGAAAATTATTTCCTGTTCTAACAATGTATAACATTACCATTTTCTCTTCATGTTCTAGCTCTTGGTTATGGCATCCTTTGTATAATCCTAACGTATGTTGCTGAGCAGCTTGGTGGAGTGCTTCAGGCATCTTTAACAATATTTGGAGTCGTTGGAGGCCCTTTACTTGGTCTTTTTACCTTGGGCATGCTTTTCAGAAAACCAAACCAAATTGTAGGCTTATTTTATTTTATATTCATTTTATAAAAAAATGTAGGAAAAGGAGTTTTTGTTGTATTTTAAAACCCACCTTATAACTAACAAATGTCTTGCATTCACCTGCAGATAAAAACTGTAAAGTTGTGTACTGAAATCCAGCCTCATTCAGTGGATCAATAAAGCTTATTTTATCCTATTAAAAAGTGATGCTAACTCAAAATAAAAACAATTAGGTTTACCAGTTATGATATTAATGCTAAAACTATAAGAGTATGATGCATGTACAAGTGAGGGAATCCTCAATAGCCGTAGCACTTGAAATTATTTTAGGCAGAATTAGAATAAATTAATCTGAGACCTTTCTTCCTTTTCATTAGCCATATTTTTGTGCACCAGCAATACCAAGCTTGTGCACAAAAGTAATTTTATAAATGAAGAGTTTCTTCTTGTATATTATACATAAATACCTATTATGTTTTGCATTTTAATAAATTTTTTCTTATTACTATAGATTGATTTCAACCAAGAATACAGTAAACAAAAATGTTCTTACTTAGCCTGATAAAGCTAGGTAGTTACTGGTGATGCCATTGTGAAAGCTCATTTCCTAGGTCACTGATAAGGTGTTTTTTTTCAGTTTTTGCCACATTTGTATATATTTGTAGCTAGAAGTGGAGACTACTGCAATTGGCAAAATATAGTATGAAAATAAGTGTATTAATAATTATCAATCTAGAAACTGACTAGATATACAAAATGGAATTATTCACATTTTTAAAAAAACTTGTGTTTGCCACATATCATACACACGAGTGTTAATGTCAAGAGCAAAATACACCCAGACTAATTACAAATAAATAAAATTACTGTGAACTGTAGAAAATCTTACAGGTTGCTGTATTTGCTCAACATGTCAGTTTTACACCTTCATTAGGAACTGTATTCTCCTGATGAAGGCATAAAGCTGAAATGTCGAGCAAATAAAACAACTTGTAAGCTTCTTTGGAATTCATGGTCATTTTATTTATTTTATCATGTGTACTGTGCTCCATTAAGATGTGTGGATTATGACTACTAACAAATCTTTCTTTTTTTTTTTACCAGATAGAATGCCTTGTATTCTCTGTGCTTGATTAAAACTATGTACTTTTCATTGTGTATGTACCCTTCCTTCTCAAAAAGTTCACGAGGCTTTGATAGGTTATGAGGAAATATGGAAAATATGGCTTGTCCAATAAAAATTGCATCATTTTAACCCTTTTAATATGAGAAAAAAGAAAAATGCAAGTGTAAATTAGTTTTATTTTCAAAGAATGAAAAGTCCTAGTAGTAAAAATTAATGTTTTTAATACTTATTATTAATGGGAAGGATGTGATTATTTTTTATTGAACAACTTATGAATAAGTAGTGCAATGTTTGTTAATTTGAAGGGAAGAAAACACGTGTGAGTCTGTGCAGGCAGAGAGTGAGTCTAGAAGCAAAGAGAGCAGTGTTTATGTGTACACAGGAAACTCAAATTGTGCTTGTTACAAATTTATCATTTTTACATTAATTGTTTTTGTATACCACTGACATTAGCTCCATGTACCACCAATGGTATGCACACCACAGTTTGAAAGTCACTGACCTAGATGTGTTTGTGATGCAAAAATAATTAAAATATGTTTAGAAATAGCTTAATTATTGGATTTTGAATGCAACAGTGCATTTTTTTCAATATTGTATCATTGCATGCCACTAGTCTTCAAGGTGTTTATCACTTTTTTTCAAAATACTAGTGTAATTAACTTATGATTATAATTTTTTACTATAACAATTATGAACATTGAAATGTTAATAAACACTTTACATCAGTTTTTCATAGTTTCGGGGAAAAGTTTTACCCAAAGCCAATGATTTCATCAATTTGAATACAGTGATATAATGTAGTTTATTCTTTAAAAAAAAAAACCTTTATGTGAATAAGTATGTGTGACTTAGGATGTAAATTTGTGTAACAATTTTGTTTTGTTTTTGTAATAAGGTTTTTTTCATATAGGGTGCATTAGTTGGTTTGTCAGTGGGTCTTGCATTTTGTTTCTGGATTGGATTTGGAGCTGGTGCAGCAAAGATTCCTGTTCCAAAACTTCCTCTAACAGATGAAGGTTGTACAGTTTCAAAAAATGAGACTTCTTTCACTGACTGGATTACAATTGACAATAGTACTTCGCTGTTCAACAATACTATCTATGTACAAGATATCAAAAACATAACCATTGAAGGCAAAGAACGGTATGGTAAAATTACAGGGTACTGTAATTTTATTGGTTTTTATTGCAAGTATTTCTTTTTCTTTCATTTTTTTTTATTAACATCAAAAATATGTATTGAAAGTCATTATGAGCTCTATTATGATTGTCATTTGAATATAAATAACTTCACTACATTGTGTACACTTGTATAAAAACATCTACTCTGGCTTCATAATGAAGTTTATTTTTGAGTAAAAACAAAAGATGTAACAGAGGTAATATAACATGTCAATCCATTTATTAACCCTACTGCACCACAGAGCACCTTTAAGGTGTCAATTTCACACATCCACATCAAATTTGGAAACTTAAATAAAGTTAATTATTCTGTTTCAAAAATTTTTAAGTCAAATATGTAACATTTATTTATTGTAATTTTCAAATAAATAAAAATATTCTAACTTCATACTTCTGGAAAGCTTTGAAGCCTGTAAACAATGTATATATCACTTTTTTGATATTTTCCTGCCATCACAAAGCATAGGTTTATATTTGCTAAGAAACTCATCTCTTGGCAATATAATTATTCATATCTTGTTTTTTCACATAATATTCTTCTCTTTTAAAGATTTTATTAATAAACACTTTCATCACATCCACTTACAATGTCACAGCATGTTGTCTGTACAAATACTAATGGACCACAGCTTTGAAAATAGTTATAGGCAACGTTTAACTATCATTGGATAAACCAGATTATAAACAATTTATATCATTGAAGTGGTATGAATAGTAGTTTATGGTTTTGTGGGAAAGTGACTACCTTGGGTTTCTATAGGGATGAACAAAGGAAATGGCAAGAAACTATAGATATGATAATTTTTTGTAGTTTCTTTAGGTATTCCTTTCATTCCTGCAAATGTTTTCCTGTTAAATTATATTTGTTTGAAAGCTACGAAAACTATACTTTCAGATAAGATATCAGAGAAGCTTGTTAGGTTTAGCAAGTAAGGTAGGCAATGATGAAATAGTCCAGTGACACAAATCCTTATTTATTGAATATTATATTTAAGTTTATTGTATTCAAACAATGCATATAAATAAAAGAGCTTATTATTGTTTTAAAAAGAAATTATGTTTTAGATATATATTCATCTTGACCAAGAATACTAGTAACAAATATTTTTACTTTAGTCTGACAAAGGTATTTAAGGGTGATGCCATTTCGAAAGGTCAGGTCCTAGGTCACTGACAAGTTTTGTTGTTTTTTGCCATGTTGTTTACAGTTTATAGCTGAAAGTGTTGACTACTGCCATTGAGAAAATAAAGTATCAAAAGAAATATGTTAACGAACATCAATCAAATTGCAACTGACTGGATATATAAGATGGAACTTTCTAATTAACAATAAAAAAACTGAAATTCTATGACAAGAGGAACTAAATCAAATTATATGAATTATTTGAAGCTGAAACTAGATCCTATTTAAGTTTAATTGGGCAGCACAATTATTCTACCCTATTCATTAACATATTTCATAGATTTTACTTATTGCACAATTTTGATGTTCTAAAAGGAATTACTTTAATTTTCTTACACCTAATATTTTATGTTCTGTCTTTGTCCCTGTGTATTGACAATGTTCATGACTAGTCTATCACAACATTCCATTTTGCTTCAAGTATTCCTACTTAACAGTTTGTTTACCAAGAAATGTTTAAGAAACATATTTCTTATTCATTTGGTCTGTTTCCATGTTGCCTAAGGATGTCAAGATAAATTAGTCACTTTTATATAAGCCCCCCGCAGTAGCACAGTGGTATGTCTGCAGACTTAAAATGCTAGAAACCAGATTTCAATACCCATGGTGGGCAGAGCACAGATACACCATTGTGTAGCTTTGTGCTTAATTACAAACAAACATTTATATAGATATGAAAAATATTTATATCAAAGTAGAGATTGTGAAATCTCTAAACTGTTCATTTTGAATAGGTTTTGATTTATATGGCAATTAGCATAATAGTATTTAAACAGCTATGTATACTTTCCACCAGGCTCAATTTAAGTTTATTATGAAACTACATCATCAGCTACTTTTCTAAATTTGTAACCATTTCTACTGCTATTTTTACGAAAATCAATATTGACTTATGTCACACAAGTAAAATTCCGTTTTATTCACCACAATATTTTTTGTTAATAAATTTGTATCTCATTTGTTTATTATAACTTTGTAAGTGATACAAGAAAGGTAAATGTGATGTAATCCAATGAATTTCATGAAGTATTACACACTTTATCTGTGTTTATCTCTGCTTATCAACCTTAGTTTATCAGACACAAAATCGATAAATTTTTCAGTGTTTTCAACTTAAGAGTAATATTTTTCTGTTCTCACACTTCATGACACTTAAAGCTTTGCTGGTGAATTAAGGTGTATATGAATTATAAGGTGATTTTGATTTATTTATGGGTGACATTATATCTAGTAAAAATTATAAAATGTAGCTTACCGTTTCCAAAAACCCAAATATCCATTTTTTTAATTCCACTTTATTATAAATGCAGTGTAATACCTTTCAAATGTTCTTTCCTCTGTATGTCTCCTACTATAATTATTTTGTTTGGAATTTTGATTTTTTTGCAGATGTGTGTTCATATTTAGTGGATTTTTTAAATTATTGTAACATAACTAACTTGTGTTGCCTTTAATGTATGTGACTCTGCAGACTGTATTCTTATGATGCTTCACCTGCACCTTAGAAGTTTTTTCATTTAGTAATTTACCTTTCCAGTTATGTGTTTCCATTGTACAAAATGTCTTACATGTGGTATGCTGGAACAGGATGGCTAGTAACACTAGTTGTTGGACTACTTGTCAGTTATATCATAGGTGAGGTATTTTCTGAACTCTTTGTAGGTTTACTACCTTCATACAGTGGAATTTTATTAAAAGCAACTATTAAAGAAATATAACTATTATTTGATATGTTAAATTCTTTGCCTCTCATAATTAAGAATTGCACACATCTTTAATAAACATTAATTTAATGCATATTTTATTGTTAGGAATTATCATGTAAAATGATTGCATGTTATTTAATAATTCTTTGTTATAAAAGTTAAAGAATTGCTTAAAAGGGACTAAATTCCATTATTTTAGTCTGATACTATTTACCAAGTGCTAATTGAGATCATTTCAGTAATCTGTCATACATTTATAATTTCTTCACTTAACCAGAATTTGTTGTATTACCAAACCTAAAATGTTAATCTATAGCCAAGAGATAAAATGTAAATGCTGAAAATAAACAATAAATGTACTTTTATTCATATTTGAAAATATGGTGAATATTATTATGGAGTCTAGCTATTGTATATAACCCCTTCCATTTCATTATTATCATATTACAGTAATTTGAAGTTTGTTTTTCATCAAAATATTTTGTGTTATCATTATTAATCATTTCCAACATTTTCACTGATCAATATGTTGTGTATATATAGTACATTAGTATATGAAGTTTAAAGCAGAATTACCTTTATAGCTAGAATCAATCACTACTAAAAATATACCACATTTTAACTTGTATATATATTTAGAATGTTTATATTATTATTTGAAAAAATAAGATGTTCACTTTTTCATAAATATTTTAATTTAATATTTAGGAAAGAATGAAGAAGTTGATCCAACACTTTTAAGTCCTATTGTCAAATTTTGGACAAAGCCAGACACTAAACTTGAGAGTTCTCAGGTAGGTACACTGTATTGTCATTTCTTGTTATTGAAAGTGGGCTGTACTGGAACTAACATGAGATATCATTAGTTAATATTATAGTGTGGAAAAGTGACTTGTTTAGGGTTTTCTTTTAGGGGTCAAGGTTGAAATTGGGCCTCCTTCCAACTTCAGTAACCTCCTAATTTTTCCACTATCCAAGGGTAATCAACAAACTTTTTAGTTTAGTGTCTTGTGGGACAAAATGCTGTTATACCCAGGGACAACTATCATTTAATAATGGTTGACCCACATTTTTATGTCCCAAGCTAAGTTAATTCAAAACTCAATCAAAAATTCAGGCTTACCAAATCATTATTTTCCAAAAGAAAAAAAAAGTGAATTATACATGTAAATAGTTATATTAGTGCTTAAAATGTAGACTTTTCCAACCCAAAAAATGTTAACATCATCTGAACATCATTCTAATTATAGTAAAACTTTTCGTTAGTAAAATCTGTCGAAAGTGCAAGATTAAATCTATTTATTACGTATTTGTAATGCATTATGACTTGACTGTTTACTATTTTGTTTGACAGATGTGTCAAATATGAACACATTGAAGTTTTTAATGTATTTTCAAAGACCAAGAAATATTTCTAAACCGTATAGAGAAGATATTCAAAAAATAATTATTGTCACAGTTATAATTTTAAAAAAAAGGTACTATTTATTGACATAATCATAGGACAGAAAGATGTTTGAGTACTACATATTTTATTTTACCAAAATAATTTTACAATAAATTTATTTTCTTCACCTAAGTAAACTTTAATTTCTTAAAATTAATATAATATTAATCCATACTTCTACCATATAGAAAAAAATAGGAAGTGGCAAATTGTAAATAATTTACATGTAAAAGAGATCACAGAATTAATATATTCTCATATTTTGATACATTTTGTAAGACTTAATAAATTGACTAACATACTCAAGTAATTACTGTACTATAATTTGGCTAGGTAGATCAAATGAATGTTTTAAAAAGCAGAACCTTGATATTTTGATAATTTTTGTAAAAATGCAAGAATTGTTGAACTGAAGCACTCACATAATTACTGTATTAAAATAAGGCTAGTAAGCTCACCTGAATATTTTACAAAGAAGAACCTTACTTGTGAATGATATACATTTGGAATAAAACCATTATTAAATTTCATCTTGTTGGAATAATGTTTTCTAAAAATATATTTCCATTTTTGGTTATTGTAGTTCTTCCACTTAAATAGTGAAAATGATGATTCAAGTGCTTGTATTGCAAGAGAAGGAATAGATAAAACAGAAACTTGACCCCATATCAACAGTACTTAAGTTAATTTTATGCATTTAAACAAGGAAGCTATTGTAAACGGATTGGTGTTAAAAGCATAGGTAGATATTTTGGGTTGTGTTAGACTAAGGTAACTTTTTGGCTATATTTAATTGGATCACATTTTTTATTGTGCTTTATTAGATTATATCTTGGTTTGTATTTGATAACTTCTGTGTGTTGTTTGAATGGTAATCTCTGGATGTATTTTAAGTGAATAATTTTGTTGGTTTGAATTTGAATAGCCAGTTTATCAGGATAGACTGAGCAAGTTTCAAAGGAGAAATAATTTTGATAATCTACTGAGATATAACTTACCAGAATAATTAATGATGAAGTAAGGTGGTCAAACTATAGTTAAGCTTTCATATCATATGGTTAGGTAAAGAACAAGATTTCATATTATGTGGTTAGGTAAAGAACAAGATTTCATAGCAAAAAGGTTTTAACTTTGCTAACAGAAATGCAAAACAGGTTGGAGAGAGAGAGAAACAAATCACCCTCTTAATTGTTAACTACATGCTAGTTCCCTACTATTTAATAGGAGCCTCAGTCCTAGGTTTGTTTATACCATGTAATCCCTCCGTTTGAATTTTCTTCACATGTATCCTTGATCACTGCCTACAGCTGAAACAAATAGTGCATTTGCTCTTCAAATATATCTGTCACCCATATTCGATTATTTGACAATAAAGACCATGAAAATATTATGTCTGTTTGCATATTTGTTGTACTTTGTTTATCATAAATTGAAAGCAATTCCTCACAATAATGGTAATGAAATTTACAGGTCATGTACAGGCATGTGTTCAAAAATTCTAAAAAATATTTAGTATTGGCTTCATCATCAAAATTACCTGCATTCAGAATTATACAGATATTACCAAATATGATACCACCTTTTATAATATATACATCAGATCATACTACACCCAATTTGACTATGTCACGCTCAGCCATACCTAATAATTTCTTTTTAAATATCCATTTTGGTTCATTTTTAGTGATTTAGTGATCATTCAGCCCACGTCTGAATATATTTATATTGAACATTGTTAGTTTCTTCATTCATAGATTTGAGGTGCAGTGAAAATTTGTATGTTTATTATGTCACACAAACAGTTACATCTGACAGGTAATCCAAATTGTTGAATAGTAGTGAATACTGAACCTGAGGTGGCTTTGTTGGTTAAAATGCCATTTAACAGTATGTTTGCTTTTTTGAATTTTACACAAAGCTACTCAAGAGCTATCTGTACTAGCGGTCCCTAATTTTGAAGTGATAAACTAAAGACAAAGCATCTACTCAACACCACTTATCATCAAATCTCTGGCTACTCTTTAAGTGCAAATATTGGGAATACCTGTGGTATTATATCCCCCCCCTCCCAGCTGAAAGTGTGAGCATGTTCAGTGCTGAAATTCGATCCTCCAACCTGCAAATTGTGAGTTGAGTGCCCTAGCCATCATGCCATGCTAGGCCAGTGAACATTATGATGAGAGGTAGGGTAGATAGACATAAAGATACATATATTCAGCGGATGTAGTTGATGAAATTTGCTTGTGCTTTGCAATCGAGAATCATTCTCGAGGTGTCGTCCATGTTTTTTACAGCATGAAGAAAATCATTTAAAATATACTAAAAAACCTAAATATTCAAATACCAAAATTCAGTTTGAATATTCATTTCAGCTCTACCAAAGTTTTCATACTGATGTTATTTTGATAGTCATTTTTTAATGATTTGACAAAATGATTATATAGTGAAAGTTAACAGTATTAATATTAAAGTTTTATATTTCTATTTTAAAATATTGGACTCTTCTCTTGAACTGTAGAAACTTAATCTCTTGCATGACTTGTTTAGTGAGATTCTTTAGAGGAGAAAGTTGTTTAAACATTTTTGTATTTGAGTCATTTCCATACAAAAGAACAAGGATGTTTTTATTATTATTCTAGCATAATTTTTTACTTGTATCAGTTCTTTAGTTAAAAACTTATGTTATGTTGAATAATTTATTTTTGTGCCCGTCACAACACTTTGTGTATAAAAAAACAACCAAAGAAACTGGGTTTAAATTGCTCATTTCATTGTAAATTACATAGGCAACCCCAGCAGTAATTAGTGGGATTAATTGCAATATTCATGGTATACTTTAGATTTTTTTGTGACTCATGAGTTATTAGGGATTCTGTAACCAACAAAATAAGTACTTCACGATCAGGATTCTTGTGATAAGCCAAAGTACATAACACATTGTATCTGTAGAAATTTCCAACAATTCATGAAATGTAACTGTTTTAAACACTGGTTTGTTTTATATCTATTTCAAAATATAAAATTCAAGTTTTACATGGGAATTTATAAAACATATTTGACATTAGCAAATGAAATGGAGGTGTTAATTATAGTTTGCAGAAAAAGAAAAAAAAAGTATATGGGAATTTTTCATGTGTTTTGACATTAAGTGGTAGCTTAACTGAGCCAAACTGTTTAGAATCCATGAACTGAAGCTCCACCGAATTATCTGTTGTAAACAGTAATAATACAGCAATGCAAGGAAACTAATTTCTGATATTCTCAGATATTTAGTTACCAGATCTGGAATATATCATATTTTAAATAATAAATTTATTTTTCTGTAATTAGGATTTTAATTTGTTTGTAAACTAATTGTTCTTTTTACCACAACAATGTAGTAATAGTAGTGTAAGTATCAAAATATACAAGGTAGTTTAGTATTATATCAAACAAAAGTATCAATATTTTAAAAAGAAATATTTTTTCAAAATGATTTTGGAGTATTTGGTAAATTGAATTTCAAAGAATAGTAGAATCAACACACAACTGTAGCAAATTTCACCATTACATTCAGTGTAGAATCAACACATGACTGTAGCAAATTGTACCATTACATAGTGCTAAAAATTTGGGTAAAATTTGTCTTTATAGGAAATTTACCATTATGGAGCATTTTTTAATGTTTAGCTATACGGTTTTTAAAGGAATTCTTAAAAAGCATGTAATTTTGAAAAGAAATTCACAAAAAATATATAATTATTTTAATGTAAAGTTAATTATTATTATTAATTATTACCCTTATATGTATATGTGATACATACTTCAAGAATTTCAAATCTTTGTTCTGGGTAATTTGTTTGAAATAGAATCATTATAGTTGTGCATTTAATATTTTCTCAATACTGTTTGATATTGTGCAATTAATGGTGCAGTTATATGCTGTTTCCACCCATTCTATGCAATAAGCTTGTGTTCTAGATACCTTAAAACTGAATTGGACTATGACTATGTAATTTAAACATTTTTTTTGTTTTATACAATAGTATATATTACAAGTGAACTTTTATATATGACTATAGAATTTAGTCTTCAGTGAAATGTTCTTTACTTCTACTTCTTAACACCATACAAATAAGTTTGTAAAACTACATAGAAAAGCTGATATTAAGTGGATGTTCTTTAAACTTCAAAACCCAATTAACAAGCAGTCTGAAACAATAAATTGAGTCTATGTGCACTAACTGAAATAAGAATGGAACTGACTTTAAACAAACTTGCTAACATTTTCAGTATTGAGTGAAGTAGAAAAGGTTTGTAAAAGCAGTTGAAACATTCCATAACTTTTTTCTAGACCAGAAATAAAACAAAATGAATGATATGTTTTTTCAAAGTTCATAGTTCCTGTGTTTCACTGACAATAATTGGTAATATCTTATTTCCAAAGATAAAATATTTTCACTTTTTGGCAGTTATAAATATAAAAAATATACCTTAAGTCACCTGAACAAAATCTGTTCACTTTAAAAAAAAAAGTCGAAACAGATAGATAAAACATGGTTGTAATTTTTTTGTTGTTGGTTATTCAATATATATTTAAATTACAGTTTTCTACTATTGATAAGTAACTTTTCTGTAAAAATTTAATTATAAAAACATTGTAGTAGCATAATGAAACTATTTAATTGGATTTTTTTTTGCTATAGAAAAGATAAAATTATATAGTCAAATTTTTATTACGGTGAAGGTTAATGTGATATATCAAACAGTTATATACATTTAGATTTTATATTTATTAGAAAAGATAAATTGTTAGCTGTTTTTCTTATGTTTATTAATTTATTGTTTTTGATGTGTATGAGTCTGTATTTAGAACTACTATAAACCAAAAAAAAAAGAAAAAAAAAGTTTCATTCTCTCTTAACTGTGTTTTGATTTTAATACATGAAAATCATATTCTAAGGAAAACAAAATTTTGGAAAGTTTCCTAAATCTTACAGTATCCTACAAATAATTATCCTTGTAGTTTTTATTAGATTATTTTGGAAGAAAGAGCACATAATTTAAAAAGATACTATTTAAAATAAATATGAGAACTACTAATTTTTATTTCACTAAAGTAACCTTTTAGTGTTTCAAAATGGTTAATATCAGTCTAAGTTTCTACACAGAGAAATAGGAAGTGACAAATCATTAGCTAATGTTAACAGATATAAAGGGAAATTCTTATCTAGATTTTGTTTCTAGCGACTTTCATATTTTTTGCATTATGTTCAATGTATGTTGGGAATAAAGGCAGCAAACAGTTCTAATTTTTCTTTTGAAATAAATCATGAGTGTAATCTATTAAGTTCTCTTTGTCAAGTGATATGAACCTTCATATAACAAAAATTGTGAACTTCTTGTATTTCTGGAAATTTAAGGCCTAATAAAAATTAAATTAGATTTTGTAAAGAGCTTATTAATTAAAAATAATGTTTTACAGCTTTAATTGTTGAGAAAACATCACATAATTTTAGCTTCAATTCTAAAATAAAAAAGTTGATAATAAACACACCAAGTACACTTTAGAAACTTTTATTTATGATTATTTCATAGTGTAGCATTTGCACTATACATTAATTACAATTGTAATGCAGTAACTACATAACTACTACAGCTGTCCACCAACTTAGACTATTAAAAACAAAGCTTAATAGCCAAACTCTAAACTTCATTTATCTATTAATACATTAGATGCACACAAAACTATACCGCTTGACAACTTTGAACTTTAACAATCATTTTAAATATATCTTAATATTTTGCATAGATATGTACCAGTATTTTACATGATCATTTAAAATAACATTATTGCACATAAATTACTCCACATTTGGAAAATAAAAAAAAAACCATTGGACCACTTTCAACAAAATCCTTGAGTACTGATGCTTAGTTCAGTGAGGAATACTTGTTACCACATTTTTATATTAAAAGTTACTTTTCTTTTAACACCTAAAATTGATAACTCAATGTGTGATTTTGATTTATATTCCATAACAGCTCTTACTTTAAAGACTTTCAAACTAGTAATTATGTGCACAGAGAACAGTTACCAGATATCATATTGTGATAGGAATTTACTATTGACAGTTAATTTTGTCTAATTATTAAAATTCAGAAAATTTCAAGTTTTACACATTTTGTTTCTTTGCACCACCACCAGTCATAATTTCATTTTTCAAGTTCCTAATAAAAAGCAGCTTTTTTTTCTAGAAAACAGTTACAAATGTTTATAAAGCCAACATTTGTCTTGAGTCGTATGAAAATGGAATATACTTGAAATATCAAGTATTATATACAGAGTAAACTTTAATACTGGTGCAACTCGTATCTGAGGTTACCAGCTTATGTATAAAACATACCAATATTCAGTCGCTACGTCTTGTATAAGCAACCATAGTTTTCAAGTTTTTATTCAAAAGTTTGCTCAAACTTAAAATGTTTTATATGTGGTAGACTTGCAACTTAATGATGTGACACAAGTGGAAGACATCGGTAGTTAATACACCATACAGATAACTTCTCAGTAAATTCCTTCACATCAAAAGGTTAAATTATTGTAGAAACAGAACCAGAGACATTTATAAACACCTCGGTGTACAAAATTTGGAATTGTTTTTAGGGATTTGTTGATAATAAAATAAGCCAGTTATTTTTTGTATTCTTCCATGAACTATCTTTGAAAAAAAAATAAATCGTACAATAGAGCTAAACATGACAACCCACTTGTGTTTGCTTCTACTAGACTATAAATTCCCTCAGTCTTAGACCTGAAGGATTAGTGATTTGACATGAAATATAGGTGTAACCAATACCTTAATAGAAAAGTGATTGTGTTCAGTCTTTTCAGCACAATCAATAGAATGAGTAAACCTAAATGCAACAATATTTCCCTTTGCTACATTTTGCAGTAAAAGTAGCATGAACTGCACAGTGCCCTGTTCATGAATTGTAACAAGTTTTTACGGTGAATGTCCCATATTAAGCATAAATAACAAACCTCATTTGTCCATAATTAATTTTTACATATTTAAAGTTAAGCCTAATATTAATGTAGTTTACTCTTTATATTAAAAACTGAAATACAACGTTTTACATCTAAAATGTTGTTTATCATGATTAAGAAACAATAAAAGAAATATATTTATAATTGCTGAAAAAGTACTGATTACAAACTATCAGCAGGTATTAACTGCTATGTTATATATTCTATTAACATCTATAGCTCCTCTGGAGATAGGGAGGCCTCAATCAAAACTTGGTTTTAAAGTTTTATGAATGTTTAAAAAATAAACTCAAGCAGATTTATAAATACTTTTAAATAATTTCAGAAACTGTTCACTTTTTTACAGAAGTTTGAAGTAAATAACCAGAAACTACAATTATCTGCAGAAATAAGAATACTTTAGGTTTGTTAGTGCCTTCTCAAGTGTTGATAACTGTAAAACCAAAATTTGCTACTTTTGTAGTTATTAATAACTGACTAATTATAAACATCAGGTTCCAATTAACTGGTTTTATGGGAAATAAAGAATAAATTGGCATATCCTTAATTATTTTATTTCTTTCTCACAGCATTCTATTTTCACTTTACCAGTTCTATTACTAATGAATTGTTTAATTATTGGATTATGAACTGAACATATATATATTTCTTCAAACAAATGAGGGTTTGTCCCACATACCAGTTTAATTCTGTTTAGGTATCACAAATATACACAGAGAATCTTAGTATACAGCACACACAGATTCTGTAATACAAGTAATGCAAAATCAGTGACAAAATATATATGAAACAAGAAGTACAAGTCATAATCAATATAATTTTCTCCCGAGTAATTATAAGGTTTTAAGTCTTCTACATTTTCATGCACTCAATATACTTTGAAAACGTAAATTCAAAAAATTTAATATTTACCAATTTGAAATCTCATGTCACTTAATTTTCATTGATGTTATTCTCAACAGCTTTTAAGTTTTCCATGAGATTTTCACTAAAGATTCTAAATGAGACAAGACAGTAAGCACTGCTAAAACAAACTCTCCAAAAGAACATAATCCCTAATCTGCTTTTGCCACCACCTTAAACTGGAAAGTGCCTATGGCTTGAGTTATAAGCAAAATAAATAAAACCTTTTAGTGTTCAGTTCCTAAAATTTCATGAAAGAGTAAATATGAATACATGTGCATGTAGAACACCATACTGTAAAACTATATTTTTCTGAAGAACTGAAAGTTAAGACCAGGCAGGCTTTGTACCAGCAACTGCTTAATAGAAAGGTACTTTTAACAGCTAAGCTACCAGTATTCAATACTATAGGTTTAAATCCTGCTTTGGCTCATGTTTCACTTCTTCAGAAAATCTAAAGCGTCCATTATTAACTGTTCAGCATGGTATACTTGTAAAATCTCATATTAGTGTGAAATAAAGGTGAATTCAAGAAACGTCTGGATACTATTATGTCCATGTACGCATCACAATTATATTTAAGATCTTTCTTAATTCATGTTATATATATTTCTTTTAATAAAAAAGGAATTTGATAGGCCTAATATACATAACCTAAAGTGTTCTTCCCAACAAAATATCACAGGAATCCACTGTACAAAGTAAAGCAAAATGAAAACCCTAACACTGTAATACTATTGCTGCCTATCCTATGTACCTCTGCAGTATTATGAATATCTTTTTTTAGCAGTGAGTAAATATATTATAATAAAAACCCATATTATATTAAAATAATAAATACTTAAAAACAATTACTAGAAACTAACCAACATCATCACATATGACATGATGCCAGCCAGATGAGCTTTACTGAAATATTTATTTTTAGCTATGATAAAGTTTTTACTCTACCAAGTGAGTTGTCATCATATTTTAAATTTTCAAGACTACAAGTACATGGAGTACATCATATAATTATTTGGCACAACCATCTCTGGTTCTCCACCTAGCAATAATCAAAGATCTAAATAAACAACCTGCAGGGCTATTAAGAGCTAAATAGTTTATAATCCTTGTTTTCAGGAAGCCCCACTGTAGTTTTTTTTTTTTTTGCCATAATGGCTCTTGATGTAAAAAAAAAAAGGGCATTTTCTCAATAATCACAGATTTCATTACCATGTTTTCTACTAAGGCATCTAATGGCACTCAAATAAACCTTCCCAGACATTTATAATTTCCTTGTAAACAAAGTATAAAATTCTATGTAAGAAAAACACAATTATTGTAACAATACTAGTAATAGAATTTCCACAACATCAACTTTAAACTACCAGCATACATGACTAACTATACTAAGATAAAGACATTGCTCACAGGCACAAAACATACACTATATGAATTTTTCTTCACTGATCTCAGTCATTTTTTCTTCTTTCTTCTAAAGCACTTAAAGTATCATCAATAAGAAAACTGAAAAAGAAAAGGCAAGAACAGGATAAGTCAACACAGTACAGTGAACTCTAAACTCTAGCCCTGGAGTTGGCAACCAGCAGCTCCCAAGCCAAATGCAGCTCTCTGACTCCTTGTATTTGACTCCTATACACATTATTGCCCATATTCAAAAAGAATGAACTTCACATTGCATGCTCTTGAATAATATCTGCATATAAAAAATACAGTATTCCTTTAAACTTTGAGAAAGAAGAATTAATTGCCTTTCTTTGCATGTCAATCTTGATAAGTCACAATAAGCAGACTCTGAACTACTAAACCAGCTAGAGTAGCATATAATGCAGCTCTCCAAACATGTTGCTGACAGACAACCCTCACCCACCCTATGAAAGGTTGCCAACCCCTGTTCTACATTACTAATATTTACACTTTAGATGTTAACATAACAATTACATTTATTCCTAACACCAGTGTTTTACCATTTATTTCTATTTTTTTATTCAGTGTTTCACAACATTTTTGATACCAGGGTCAGGACTGCTCCTCTTAGAGATCACTAAAATGCAAGTACGTCAAAAAACCATTATAAGTCACATATGAATAAAACGTCTGCTTTTCTTTGTTTGTTTTCATGAAATCATGACCCCCCTTTTTTTTTTGACAGCAAGGACCATTGGTAATCACCAGTTTAAGCCTTCTGTCATATATTAAAGTTACTCAATATCTTTATCAATATGAGGATACATAAGACTAATTAGGCCCAAGTCACCAAGGTTAGGGCTAACTTTCAAAATTATACATATCTGATAGGCCCAGGCCTAGAAATTTATGGTGAACTTAAAGCATTATGCATCACCAATACTAGTAATAGGCTATGCAGTATTGCACCTAGGCTCGCAGTAGATATAGATCTTGGGCCTACAATTCAAGGAAACCTCTATTTTTATGCCTTATTATTTTTTATTTTGTTGATATACATAACTTTCTAATGAAGTCACTCAAAATGCTCTCAATGGGACTGTCTTTTCATTGCTATTTAGGCAGTATTTTGTTGATATTAATAATAACTTTTTTCTCAAGCCAGGCCTAATTCGAATTTGTCCTTCACTGACACATCTACTTCCTGCACTGTGTTCATCTTTCCTCTTGACAGCCTTAATTGGCATGAGGCTCAGTGTCAATATTTATATTGCCATTCAGTACATGCACACAAGCATTTAACGGTTAACCTTTGCTCCAGTAGCCCAGGCTTAAATGTTTGGAAGAACAATGGTGTCAATTTGGGAAACCCACCACATGGCAAACACTCCTGGCATTCTGGTCATGATCTGTGTTCTGATTGGCTCATCTGCAAAGACTGGTTTTATGAAGACACATAATGTATGCAATCTAAGATTTTCCACCATGACTCCTTCTCATTAACAATTATCACCCGAGCTAAACCTATTCACAGCAGACATACCCCCAAGAAAAAGTGTATTCATAAGCAACATGCACGTGTTTAACATGAAGTGAACAACAGAACTGTTAAAATGACTACCATACCTGAAAATATCATTGCACACAACATAAAGTTTACAGAATTCTCTGAAGTTGCAGAAAATGCTGACATATGATCATTACTTTTAATCTTATTTTTTATTATTATATTGTTTTGCACTGATAGCTTAATATATACATATTTAGGAATAACCTAATTCTCATAAGTTGATTTAACCTCATGAAATATTATTGGGGTTAAGGCCAAAATATCGTTAATAGTGAAGATACCTAACTCATGAAACAATGCATTCTAATCTTTTTATATTCAATGTAAAAAAAAAATATTTATTTAGCTATACTGATTGCTAAGTTGATTTTTAGTTTGCTCTGATTGGAAGTTAACATTAACCTTTAATTATATCACCATAGTATATAACATTAATGTGTTTAAGTAAAGGTTAGTCTTTTCTTATTATTATATTTTTACTTTTCAATATCTTCAGGGTAATACTATAAATGTAGATACCTTATGTTTTTTTTACAAATTATTTTTCCTATAAAGCACAGATCACCAGGAATTAAAAATACAGAAATGACAAAAATGCCAAGCATAATCATGAATTCTTTTTCTCTGTTATTATGAATTCATAAGCATATGGTCATTTTACATAGATTTTAACCAAGCAAGTCCAAGTCAAACCTTATTTAAAAAGACTTTTCATCTCTTCTGAAGGTATACAATTTTACTCGAAAGGAATGATGGTGAGAATGTAATCAAGTTCCATATTCACTACTAAACATCTAGTTCAGCTATATTATATTTGTTATGATAAATCTACTGTATTGACCATGATACTGCTATTATTGGAATCAAGAACTGTAGGTTAATGGTTCAGTTTTGTTATTCAATGTTAACTTTTCATATCTGAAACCTTGATTGAAATAATTCTTTTATGTTTCATAGATAGTGCAGGCAAGTAACGTTTTTATATTACTTAAAAAAAATAAGGTAACTTTTATTCTTTACAAGAACAAAACAAACACAATTTTCTTTTTTTCTATAATCTTACTGGACATGTAAAATCACATGTTTGGAATCATTAATATAATTAATACACAATGAGTAATTCTTCTTATAACAAATTCCTAGCCAATGCACATGTAATGATAATAATAACAGCTTTTCAATTTACTGTTGATAAACAAGTGAGCTATTTCTTTACATGTGAACTATAAAGAGTTGTTGTTAACAATCATTTCTTAAAATTTTTAAATTACTTGGCTTCTGTTACATAATCTTACCTGTACCACAGAAATGGTAAGGGGACGGTTCCAAAATGCCATAGGGCATGAGCATCTAACACAAAATGCCAGGGAGGGAAATCAGCCACTTCCAGCAAGAGAAGGCCATTAAGCACTATCACAGATAATGCACATTTCCACATGTAAGTACGATGCCTGTTCTTATAACACCAGATTAGCCAACCACAAGAGTTTAAAACACCTAAAAACAACAACAGATATACATATGTGAAAAGTAACTGAATAAGAAATAAAATACCTGAATTATTCAAATGTTATCACAAAATATACTTTTGGTTAATTTCTTGGTATTTTTTAACAAAATGTTACAGAATAACATACTGATAAAAAACAGATCTATCATACAATATTTCTTATTTCAAAAATATAAGTAATGGTTATCATTAAAAATAAAATATATTTAACGTGACATCATGAATTAAGAAAAATATGAGAGATAAGATGCAAAATACATTTAAAAGATTAGTTCTCCATATATGGGCTCAGTCATTGTGACCAAAATTTGTAATCATGAAACTACTTACTACAATTCTGAAATTTGGCAACCTTTTAGCAAACATTACAAGTCTGTTGTAGAAAAAAAAATCAGTGTTATGGAAGAAAAGGATCTTGGTGTTCTGGTTAATTACTTTTTAAGCCATCCAAGCAATATTCTGTTGCTAATGGCAGGGCAAATAGAATTTTAGATTGTATCCACAGAAATACTGAATACAAGTCTAAAGATGATATAATTTCATTGTATAGGTCATTGGTTAGGCCACATTTGGAATACTGTGTTTAGTCTTGGGTTCCTTACCTTAGGAAGAACATTGAATTGTTAGGAAGTGGTAAATTTGTTTGTTGTTCAGCTCAAAGCTAAACAATATACATTGATAATAAAACCATTTAATTACATTTTAATTGCAATTTTATAAAAAGGTCATGACATATAAACTTTGATCTTTCCAAATTCAGAGTTAAATAATGAGTAAAAACAAATCTAAAATAAAATAAAAATTATTAAACGTTTCACTGATCTATCTCAGCATCACCATGCAGAACAGATGAACTAATATAAGGTAAACACTAACATACTTACAAGATACTTTTATTTTTGTTTAAAACAAATATAGACTGTTAATCCCACTTGAATTGATGTATTGACTTTCAGTACAACATTTTATAAGTTACAAATGGTTCACAGTTACAAACTTACTGAAAAAACAATATTTATGGTATAATCATTCAATCAAGTTTTATAATAGTTATGAAGAGTTACTTCAAATTTTGTAAATACACAACAGTAACACTAAAACCTTCTAAAATAGTTGATTGAAGTTCTAATTTATTCCCTCAAGTGTTATAAAAACATCTATTTTTTTCAATTCAAATATAACTATAAGCTACATCTACTCAGAACAGAGAAAATGATACACAGGACAAAGCTATATTGAATACTTGAAGACATTTTGTAAAATAATGAACTTACTAACAAAGACTTTGAACATAAATGAATTCTCTCAAAGTAATATTTTTCTGTCAGTTTCACTGTCTGTTTACAAGTTTCCTTATATAAACTGTTATTAAATGGTTTATATTCAACAAATCATTAGTAAGAACTAATATTGAATTTATTTAAAAGGCCTGTCCTATAGCATTAGCCTAACCTAATTAAAGCTATATAAAAATAACAATCTACTAGATCAGTGATTCTCAAGCAGTTGATCCTCAGATATGCAATTATCAGCCATTGCAGGTTAAGACAACTGTGACTGCTTTAAACTAACAATCATCAACTGCAGGCCTTTACTATTTTGCCAAATAACCAAATAGGCCTTGAGATGCAAAAGACTGAGTAACTCTACAGTAGATAAAACTGTTCACATATATTTAAAAGTATATGTACTTATGCTACAACTGTCAAGAACAATACCATTAGTAACTTACACATGAAAATTCATGAGAAACAACAATTAAGCAAAACATTTGCACATTTTATTTTGAATAACCATTTACATTCTATGCTAATTTTCATGAAAATCTGTGTGATCAATCATGAAAGCCCCCCAAAACCACTTAATCCCACCCCATACTTGAAAGCCCCAATATGAAAGTTTAGAAATCAAAATGTAGTTAGTTTAATCAATTCATGTAATCCATGGATCCAGTCACGAGCCTCAAATAACCTTTTGATCCCCCATACAGGGACTCAAATTTGAAAACTGAACTCAAATTAGTTTTAAACGATTACTTACATGTTAGTACCAATTTTCTAGTAAAGAATTGCCAAAGGTCCATATGACTCCCACTTTTAAGGCATTCTCACAACTCTTAAAAACAATTTTTTTTTTCATATTTATGAGAGTCAAGAAACTACATAACAAACATTATGGGAGTATTTCAAAAAATATAAACACATAGTTGCATCAACCTGGACAATGGGTGATTACTATGTGGTCTATGATGTACCATCTCATAACAATACTAACATGTAATCATGCTATAAATGCCTTTTAAAATTTCTATTTTCTGTTTTAGTAAGCAAAAATACCTTGTTCATAACAACTTTGCTATACATACGTTGTATTTAAAATGATAATAATCCAGAGATCATGGTGTTTGTTATTACAAACCACAGTATATATTTATTCCAGTTAAATCAATTCTAAAATTAAAAAAATAAAAACTCACCTACAATAATATTTGCTTTCATGTTGTAACCATAGTCAAAATGGACGAAGCTTAGATGATAAATATGATAGAAAAAATATGACAGGAATGGCACAGCAATAACAGAGGATCCCATCTTGGATGGTGTTTGGATTACTCTAAATACATAAATCACATTATGAACCTTTAATTGACACATCTAAAAAACCACAAAAAAAAAATCAAAACATTTTAATTTCACACCACAAACACATTTTTTATAAATATGCAATGGTACAAAATGAAGCTGAACATGAGTTGTCAACATTTTATCAGAAATGAAAAGTACTCTTCATATTTGTATAACATGCCATAACTTCAACTTCTTGGTACTGGAACTTCAATAACCTACAATTAATCTTAAATTATGTCCATAGTAGAAGCACCATCCCTTAATTCAAACATGAAAGTCCAAAAGTATTTTAACATTTATCAAAATACTGTCAAACATTTGCTACTTTCAATTTCTGGCAAAACATATAAGCACAATTTTAGTTATCACCTGAGCAACCTGCCTTGCAGCTTATTCTTAAGACTGTTTCAAAGAACTTGTATGCATCACCATTAGGTCTGCAGGTTTTTGTTCAATTATCAGGTTTGATATACAGGTAGCATGCTTCTGGGAGAGGATTCTTTGGTATGTTTTGTTACTTGGTTGGTTCTATTCTGTTCATAAGCTATAGGTTACTGATCTTTAATCCCTGTTTGAGTTGATCTTTCATATTACTGATCTGAATTAAATCATTCTGGGTTTTTTTAGTAATATTCTCTGTCAGTAATACTAAGCTGTTCCAATCTACTTTATGTCCCATTTCAATAATGTGCACTGGTTTTAAATCAGTCAGACAGCATCTTTACATTCCTTAGGACATTGTTTCAGAAGTCTTCCCGATTCTCCTATGTATAAAACTCCACAAAAGCATGAGGTTTGTAGATTATGCGTTTTGTTTATTTTAGACATTTGCACTAAAGTACAAAAGAGCTATCTTTACATAAACATTTCTCATATTGAACTGATAGATCAGAAAGAAGACAGCTAATCATTAGTAAATAACACCAATTCTTGATCTCTCTAATGGTAAAGTAGAATTTCACCATCAACTGTATAATGTATAATAATGCACTATGGCCTCAAAGTGCAAATTTGCTTTTGTAGCAACAGGATGAAAACTATGGAGCCTCAAATTCACAGTCCAGAACATTAACTACAAGAACATACACTGCTCAGTTTCATAGATAGCTGCTTTGTTTCTCAGATGAGGAGTAGGTTACTTTGCAAGTTCAAATACTTCATGAAGTATTACCGGATTGAAAGTGAACTTGAATGTAAAATGCATCAAAAAGTAGTCTAAGATCAAGCTCAAAAGACAGGTTGTCCATATCAAAAACTCCTGAACAGTTTTTTCAAACAAAGCACACAGTTTTATTCTAATTATTGGAATACTGAACTGATTACATAGGTATACTTGCTCCCTATTTTCTACCTGTTAAGAATGTCATTCAAACATGGCACAATTATACTCTATTATAAGACCTAACTGATTACATAAAGTATTGTATGGGTATATTAGTCTTTATCCAGAGTAACTTCTTCAGTTAAGTTAATAATAATGACTAAATCATTTTTGCTCAATTTTTAATTTACCAGGCATAAAAGAAAAGTATTATGGTAAAAGAACCAAACTCATTGAAACCAAACTAATTTTAGTTAAATGAAACTTTAGTTATAACATCCATGTTATTCAAATAAGTGTCAAATAGACATTTTAGCAATTTCAAATTGATAGAAAATAATCCTTTCTCTCAAAGTGCAAACCTTAAGTCATGTTAGGTATTTTTCATGTGATAAGGTAGCAAAACGTTTACAAATAACCAGGTTTACTTTTTGGCTTTCCCTGCCTCTGCCTATCTCTAACCATTGCAACTAATAATTCCCCAGTATTCAAACTGTTCACAATAGAAAATATTATTTTCTCAAATGCTTGTTCTTCGTAAATCTTCATTAATTAGGCTTGTATTCAGTAGTGTTAAATATTCCTGAAACAAAATACAGTACAGCCATGAATAAACAATACAAATGCACATGAAAAGCTCATTGTAAATGCCTAGAACCATGAGCTAAAGAATACAGAATGAATGGCTTGTTTAAAATAATGTAACATTTCTTCAGTAAATCATACTCTAACCATAGTAGAGAATACTTATGTCAATATTATTTGCTATTTCCTCCTAATACAACCAGGAATGTCGAGAGCCAGCACTGGCCCCAGGGCAAACATCCTAGCCGGGCCCCCTTTCTCTCTCTCTTTTTTAACATTTTCAAGAATTTATTTAAAAGATCCTAAATTAGGACAGCAATGAGCTCATAAACCAGACAAAATCATATCAGCAACAGTTTT